TAAAACTATATGGATTTTTGTAAATTCTTGCAGTATTAAGAATTAGCTATGCCACAATTCAAGAAACATGACATACTAAAATGACTAATGACTAAATCACTAATAAATGCATTACGACATTAGAACATTGACGGCATGTATATAGAGTTGGTCACATTTTTCTCTGCTAAAAACATTATGGATGGAAAAGTGGGTATTTGCCCAAATGAAAACATCTGCTTTCATTCAAGTTTTTTTTGATCTGTTGTAAAAATAAATGTTTCTATTTTTGGAAAGTTTGTGGTATAATTCCCGTTTTGTTTTAAAGGAAGTCAAAATCTCCTACTGAAAAGGACTCCTTTTTGCTCAAGTTTACGTGTGTGAGGAGGGAAGGATTTCTGAAGCCCTTTCAGACAGTAGCATAACTAAGGCAGGGCAACTGGGACATCACCCAAGGCACTGACTTGGGAACAGTGGAAAAATGACAGCTGTTCCTTCCTCCATGCAGCCACACTGGTAGCACAGCAGCAGCCAGAAATCCAGGCATCACCACTTCCCTGAGCACATGCCTTTTTATTCCTCAGCTTTTAGGTGGTGGGCCACATATAAATTGTAATAGCCATCTGTATCCCAAAATGGTAGGGCTTGGGAGAAGTGGGGTGGAAGGCTATAGTAGTTTGCAGATATATCATCCAGAGCCTCCTACAGAGTGGCATACTTTGTAGGAGTATGGGTCAATGCAAATAGGTTAGCACACCATCCCGGTTATCGAGCTAAAAGGCAGGTAAGGTCCTCTTTTCCTCCTTCTCTGTCATTTCAGCATCTTCCTCAGAGTGAAATGGGTAGCTGTATAATAGAGCTATGTGGGTGTGTCTACATGTGCATATTAATGCGACACAATAAACTCTAGTGCATAATGCACTAGAGTTTATTGCTCCTAATCACCATGTTTACATGTGCATCCTAGAGTGCAGCATGTTTAGCTAATTAGGCAACTCTACCAATAACTGTCTCATATAGACACGCCCTATAAGAATAGGTGGAAGCTATGTACTTTCCTGGATGTATTAGGAATAGAAAAAGCAGTCTTTATATGAATAGGAGAGTCACTTGTCTATGCAGGTTGAATCGTGGGACCGGGCTAGGCTGCCCATTGAGAAACTAGGAGAGCTGTGTGTCTTCTTGGGCAGATTTGGACTGTGTTATTGATGCATGATTTTTTTGCCACAGAAAAGAGAAGGATTAGAATTTGGGATTCAATCCTTAGACACTTGGTGGAAGGAACAGGGTCTGGGCCTTACTTTTAATTCTCGCCAGCTTTTACTGAAGATCAACATGGGGAAAATTCTGATTGTGACCAGAGACATTGAGCTGTGAGACTAATTGGTTTTTCAGGTCAGCTGCTGAATTTGGGGGTGGAGGGAAAGTGAAGTACTCATCACAAAGAATTTAAATTGTGCTTTCTCATTGAACTATTTAATTTTCTTCAATGTGAAATCACTAGCTCCAAGCAAGTTTTGGTATTTATCTGAAAATGAAAGTTCACAGGGCTTCCTTTTATCCAGTAACTCAATGGAGCCCGCCAGGAGATACCTGCTCAAATACCTGCCTTTACTTAGGCAGACAGTTTCCTAAGCTGCAGGCTGTAATGTATCTAGAGATGCACGCAGAGTTTTCCCACTTAATATAAAACTATTTAAGCAGTCATTTTATGATTATGACAAGGAGTTTCTAACTTAACATCTTGACCACTCAAGTGGGAAGTTGGAACATGGGTTCCAGAGCCCACTCTAGAGAAAGTTTAGTTATCTATGCCGACTATAATAGCTCTTTCTTTAAGATTCTTTCTTGGGAGGTAGGAGATGTAAATTCAAATGGCCTAAGGCAAATATGCAAATTGAACTTGAGTCTTCAGGAGCCTGACTGTTCCAGCCACTGAACTACTGGATGTGTGTTATTTCCCACCCCTCCTCCCCTCGCCAAAAAAAAATTAAAAATCACCCAATGCTAGTTTTCCATGTATTGACTGAATTTACAGAAGAATAACCATAGAACTCAAAGGGATATCAGCAAAGGCATATAAGCACCAAACCTCACCAACCACATCACCAGAAGCAAACTTTCTGTGGGCCAAAGCACACCGAATGTATCATAGTACTAAGGGTCAGAAGAGACCTAAACAGATCATCAGGTCTGCCCCCCCGCCCCAGGCAGGAATGGGTGCTGGGGTCATATCACCCCAGCCAAATATCTGTCCAGCCTCCTCTTGAAGACCCTCAAGGTAGGAGAGAGTACCACCTCACTTGGGAGCCCATTCCAGAGCTTGGCATCCCTAACTGTAAAGTAATGCCTCCTGATGTCCAGCCTGAACCTTTTCTCTAACAATTTGTGGCCATTATTCCTAGTAACCCTGGGTGGTACCCGGGGGAACAGAGCCTCCCCCAATTCCCGCTGGTCTCCCCTCATGAGTTTGTAAATGGCCACCAGATCCCCTCTCAGCCTTCTCTTGTGGAGGCTGAATAGGGTCAGGTCCTTTAGCCTCTCCTCGTAGGGCTTGCCCCTCTGCCCCTTGACCATGCAAGTGGCCCTCCTCTGGACCCTCTCAATGCTAGCCACATCCCTCTTGAAGTGCGGTGCCCAGAACTGGATGCAGTACTCCAACTGTGGCCTGACCAATGCCGCATAGAGGGGGAGGATCACCTCACCTGCTTGTGATGCATCTGTACATGCACAACAAGGTGCAGTTAGCCTTCCTGACTGCTTCCTCGCATTGGCAGCTCATGTTCATCCTGCAGTCAACAATGACTCCAAGATCCCTTTCTGCCACTGTGTTGACAAGAAGGGAGTTCCCCAGCCTATAGGTGTGTTGCTGGTTCCTTCTCCCTAGATGCAGCACCTTGCACTTGTCTGCATTGAATTCCATCCTGTTCTCATCTGCCCACCTCTGTAACCTGTCTAGATCTAGCTGGATTTTGTCCCTTCCCTCCAGCGTGCCCACCTTGGCTCTATGAGCTCTGACCATGAATGGATCCAGACCATGCCAGGACAAGAAATGTAAAACCTGCCAACACATTTCCAACATTTCCACAATAACTACATCCCACAACAAAACCATCACCATTCCTGGATCTTATACCTGCACCTCCAGAAATGTAATATATCTCATCCAGTGCACTAAATACCCTGATGGAAAATATATGAGAGAAACCAAACAAGTGTGTACTAGAATGAACGTACATCAAAAATTGATCAAAGGCAAAAATACCCAATTACCTGTGGATGCACATTCTCACAAGGCAACCACTCTCTCTCCAATCTCTCAGTTCTAATCCTCAAAGGGAATTTGCAAAACACCTTTCATAGATGAGCCTACAAACTTCACTTCATAAATCTACTTGATACAAAAAAATCATGGACTAAATATAGGCATTGGATTTATGGCACATTATAACCTGCCTGCCATCTGATAACCCCAGGTAACCTGTCTGCATTTTACCAGCTACTTTCTATCAACAGGTCAACATCCCCCCTCCCCAATCTTTGTCCCTGCCACCCCCTCCCCCACACACACACCTGTTTCACACGTATTGTCTCCCATTCCCTCCGATCCTCACTGCCACGCATTTGCATTTTTACAGACCTGCATTTTATACACTGGCTTCTATTCTACCATGGAGAACACATAACACCAGCAGACTTTTCCTATGCCTGAAGAAGGGTGTTTGTGCCTCAAAACTTGAAAAGGACAATTTTTCTAACTATTTAGTTGGTATAATAAAAGATACCACATTTATCCAAAGAACCTTGTCTGCCTAAAACAATAAATACATCCTCCTTAGCAATGGGACTGTATGAATTGTCACATGCCTTACCAGAACTGTTAAAGCGAAACCCTTTTAGAGAGAGAAGGGGAAATTAAGTTCATTTGTTAATGTCTTATCTCAAATTTAGGAGAAGGTCTAAACTCTTCAAAGGTGATTCTGTCTATAGCTAAATTAAGTGGAGCCTTGCTTTATGAGAAATTGATTTAATAGACAGGTGGACTCTGCATAGAACATCAGCTAAAGGCATCAGCTAAAAAAGAGTGAATGGACAGAAGCAACTGTTCCATCCAATAAAAGATGCTAATCTGAAAGCCTTTCTCTAATATTATTCCACAGCTGGGCTCCATCTAGCTTCCACTGAGATGGATGGCAGAGGACACTAAGAAAAGGAGCATACCTAACAATTGTAATTTAGTTTTCATGCTGGCACCTGGGGATTCCTCTCAGAACATGTGACTCTCTTATGTTCAGTTATATAGTGTGGGAAATTGGACCCATGGAGTGAATTAGCTTGGTTCTGGGAAAAAGTTTTCTCAAGACAAGTTTAAACACTCCCCTATCCCCCGCTGCCCCTTCCTCAGCTCCCCCATCCAAAAAAAAGGGGGTGGGGAAATTCAGCCATAGCCAGAGAAAGGGAAACCATCAAGGATGGTACTTTTTCAGCCATCAAGATTAGGTTAAAGACTCAGCCTTCCAGGTGTCAGTACTTTTAAAATATAACTCTATGTAAATCATTTCCTGTGCTATGCAGCTTCAAGAGGAGAGGAAGAGAGTACAGGACACCTCTAGCCTTCCCCAGCATCTCACTCAAAGATAAGCAAGGGAGGATCCCAATTTAGCCCTCCAGACTGGACTAAACTAGCAACTACCATATATGTCAGCATCCTGAGATAAGATAGTTTGCCACCCTGGAAGAGTAGCTAGGCCCCTTCCTTTTTGTATATAGTCTGTAGTTGACAGCAGGTTCTGGAACAGAGCTCCTCCTACATTTTAAAGGAACAGCATGGTTTACTGCAGAGGACATGCCCACCCAAGGTTGCTCACTCTTGTGTTCTTCTGCAAGACCAGAATATGTTTTGTCCCTGCTTGTTCATGGCATTGCAGAAAAAATCAACAAAACATGTCTAGAAAATGAGAAGTCGGGCTGATTCCTTATGAAGTGATCTTCTTTAAATAAGTGAGTATAGACCCCTTGTATATCTTTAAATTATATATCATTTATTGAAATATAAAGATCTTCATTTACAAGTTTTAAGACAAAATCTGAACAGGGGCATTTTTAATACATTTTGTGCCTGTGGTCACTCATGCCAGTTTGCCCTTCTTCAAACATTTCACAACAAACCACCATTTTGGAAACACTTACTTTTTTATTATTCTAAAATATAATTTTTGGACATTCAAAAGTGCAACAGTTAACGTGCCTGTGGAGTATATCACAGTAAAAAAAAAAATTTAAACAAAGGCAGTGGTACAGCTTGGATAAATGTTTTGGCAGTATTCTAGAAGTCTATATAAAAATACTTATATACATATTGATGTATAACATCACCATATCTTACGTCCTTCATCACATAATAGGACCATTTTGTACAAGTTCCAGACCACATTATAAAGAATCAATTGGCCATTCAAAATCAAAAGGTGTGTTTCATAGGCAAAGTTTGATTGTCATTATACAGTTACTACACAGAAGGAATTGGGAGCATCTCTTCTAGTGGCTTCTCAAAATTAAGCCATAAAAAAATCAGTAATACTGAAAACAAAAGAAAACAAACCAACCCCCTATTAGATTAAAATCCAAGTATTTTTCCCCCCAAGCTAAAAAGTATGGTCCCTATCCTGAAATGAGTTGTGCATGGTTGGATCCCTTGCAACTATACAGAGCTCTGATCATACGGTTGCTGTGACTGCACACCCAAATTAAGCTACCCGTGGTTTCAAATAGCCTGCAGTCTAAAGGCTGGAGAGGCCTGTTAGATCACCTAACTCAATATCCTGTCTATCACAAGCCCTGTTACACCATTGAGCCCAGTCACTTGTGCTTGACTAAAACATTTTCCAGAAAGGCTTCCAGTTATGATTTAGTAAGAGATGAAGAAAACACTGCCTCTTTTGGTAGCTCGTTCTAACTGCTAATCGCACCCAGTTTTGAAAATATGCACCTAACTTGCAGTCATAATTTTCTGTATGCAAACTTTTGCACGCAGCCTTGATTTTATGACATTTTGAAATTCAGACCCATAACAAGTTACCTATAACACTCAGTGTTACATTTGCTCTCTGCTCACTATCACCAACTGAAGTCAACAGGAGTTGTGCTGCATGTCAAAGGGTCCAACTGGTCCTTCAAGTTTAGTTGTAGTTTGTTATTCAGAATCCAGTCAGTTTGTTCTTTTAGTTAGTATTTCCTGGTCCATACTTACTGGGCATGTCTACACATGCACATTTACTGCACAGAAATGGAAATTACTGCACAGTATGGGCGTATGTCTACAGGTGCATTCCCATACTGCACAGTAAATATGGTGACTTATGCCAACTTGAGCGTAAATTTAATACTTGCATTATGCAGGTATCAAATTTATGCCCAATTAGTTACTGCGCAGTAACACATGTGTAGATGCCTTACTGTGCAGTACCGCTGTGTGTAAGGACTGACGTGGGACTAACTTTAGTTCCAAGTCAGTCCACACACAGCGTAAATGTGCTTTAACAGTTGCATGTGTAGACACTAGCCTATTCCCCCTTACTGTGCAGTAATTTACTGTGCAGTGAATTTAAACCAGCATAAATGCAAGTGTAGACATGCCAACTAGGAAACAATTACAACACAAGCTTGATTTTGTATTGCATTTGCATTGTTTGTGTCATGTTAGGTGCTGAGCACTTTATGGCTAGTTATAGACATTCAAAAAGCTTGTGGAATCAATCTAATTCATGAGGTTTTCTGTAAGTGGCATAGTTTAGATTGGTAGCAAACAGAACACACATTTGCCCTTTGGTGGGAGGGACAAATCTTAGACTGGGTTCTGCCATTTTTAAACCAGTTTGTCTGTGCTGAACTTCTGTTATCGCTATAGACTGTATTTTTTGTGCCAAACTTCTGTTCTGTTATGGTTATAGACTGTTTTCCAATCACTTATGCTGGTAAAAGTGTAATGTCTATACCTGGCCTATGTGATGTACTCAGTGCACTTGATTGTTAATGAGTTTAAAAGCTGAGCACCAGAGAAAGATGTGGCCTGTTGCAGGCACGTACCTTAATTTAATCTGTAAGTCTTCCCAAGTATTCTATATCAATAATATATCATACAGTGATAGCAATAATCATAACACTTTCAGACATACCGTGTCAGCAAACAAGCATTGCAGACCACAAGTGGATTAATTTTTGTGCTCCCTCCTTTGTAAGTGAGGGGGCAGATTAAAACTACCAATACACTTGGAAGCAATTACTTCTCTTAGTGCTGGCAAAGATAATACAGTCAGCCTTCTTTACTTTTACTTAAACCTGAGAACTAAAACAACATTCTCAACATTTGTTGAGAAATGATAGTCATATATTTCCTTGTTAACATCTTGTACAGTTGAAATAATAAATCAGTTTTTCACATTTGACCTCAAAATAAATTCCTTTGAATAGATATGCAACATGTTATTTAAACACTAACAATGCTGTTGCTGTTGATTGCTCATTCTTCTATTGAACAGTAACATGAGAAACATGGTATAAACTAGTACGTTTAAAAATAGCTCTACATTTTAAAAAGAATCAGTAAATCAAAGATTGATTGATTGCTTTTAATATATCTTATTGGGAAAGCCACTCAGCAGATGGTAGAAAATCAAATCTGAACTTCTTCTAGAAGAAACATGTTCTTCCTAAGCTGGATTTAGCTCACCAGACATATCATAATGTGATCAGTTAAAAACCACTGCTCTTTCATACCAGCATTTGAATCTTAAATCTCTTTACTTATTTAATAATGGTTTTTTAAACATTGTGCTTTTGCTGAAGGACAATGAGTTATAAACTATATATTTAGTGTTACTGAAAACAGTAGTATTATTATGAAAACAGCTATCTTCTACAGTTAATAAAGACTTACTAGGCTTCTAACCCCTATTATAGAAGGTTTTTTTAATTATTATTATTCTCTTTTATTTTCATTAACTGTAAAAAGTATAATGTTATGTAGTGCCAGTCAGTACCTTTATGTTTCAAAAGTGGTTTTTGCATGTACTTCATGCACGTGGTAGTTTAACAGCAGCTGACATTGAGAAGGAAGTATACAAAAATCAAGAGTGATCTCTTCTATAGTCCATAAAGTATTGTCAATGTGCACCTCAAAAGTTCCTTGAGGAGACGCTTATTTACATAATTACAACAGTGAAGTTTTGCTGCAGTGGAAATTCTATCCATCGGAGTCATGAATGCCCTTGAAACACAAGCTGGTCTGTTTATGGTCTTTTCCTTTGTCCTTCTACCTATTCAGACTGCAAACCACACTGAAATACTACTGAAGTATGCAAGAAGCAACACTAAAAAGTTGACTTCAACTTCTTTCTGTTTCAGGATGATGATCATTACTGGGAACTTCTCTTTACATATCCAAACTCTCCTCACATCCTTTGCATTGCAGTAAAGTGGTTCTCTCTGGAGTAATAGTCTGCAAGTTGTATGGCAGCTTCCCTTTTTACGTAGCTTGAAGATGTCTTTTTGATTCCATGAGAATTACAGGAAGCTGTCCTCAACCAGATCTGAGGAATCTATTCCAATGTCATCCATTATGTCAATGTCCTCAATGGTCTCATCCTCTCTCTTGATAAAGGTAGAGCTGCTGGAACCAGTCTCAATAGCACTTTCTTCAGATGTTTGGGAACTGTAAGAGACAAAACACTTAGGAACTACACACTGAGTAATAAATATAGTACAAGTCTCAGCACAGACTTTCTAACAACTTGGTAATCTTAGAAACCTGTGTCTCAAGATAGACATCTTGTATGAGAAAGTCACCAAAGGATAATTAATTGTCTTAGAATTTAAGCGAACAAGTTTATAACTCTTTCCTGAGGACACCTTCTGCAAACTCATCCAGTCAGTATTTATGGAAGAAATAGTTGGCTTTAAAGAAGCCCCCAACAGAACAATGAGGTGTTGATGACAACTGTCCAATTTAAAAAGGTGGGGGAAGTCAGGTACTGGAAAGCTTGGGGAAAGATGGCAAAACATATAAAGACCATAAGTGCTTAAAGAGACTCCTTCCCTCAGTCAGTAGTGATGTCAGTCCTACGTCTCTTGCTAATAATCCAAAAGGTCCACAATTTTGCTTCCTATGATATTGGCTTTATTATAAACTAAGTATAAATTAATGCTATTGAAAATGTTACTAGCCAGCTAAACCTAGATTTGGCCACACTAATTTACATCAAGCACGGTATTTATTTATTTAGATTGATCAGATTCCATGAAAAGGAGCCCACCTAAAGACTTCAGGCACTCTGCCATCCAAACCCCCACATAAGAACACCTGAAGCAGCCTGACCCCTTCTATGAGTATCAGAAGGCCTCACATACAGTAAATCACTCACGTACCTTAAAATCCTGCTTCAAGCCATTTATCTTTTAAAAAAACAAATGGGCTTCCAAGTGTGTGCAGGTCAATCTATTTGTGCTATCCTGGATCTAGCTGGAAAGTGAGTTCTAAAGAGTGTCAGAGGGAACATCTTAACACCTACCCCATTTCTTCAGCAGCACAGCTGAGGAACAGGGTGGTCCCTCACATAAATAGGTCCTAGTCCACAATGAAGGTCTGGCTTGATGGATTGCCCCATTGAAATCACTGGAACTAGTCTTATAGAGCCCACTCTTGTTCTGTTGGTTGTCTCAGTGATGCCAGTTGAGCTATTTTTGGAGTAAGGTATTGTTCAATAAAACCAAGGGTATCAGAAACTGGGCCAGAATTGGGTAGTACAAGAAAATGTGGTCAGTGAGATGGTCTCTGGCATATAACAAACTGAAAACAGCATCTACCTGTGCCTGTTTCTTTTGCCAAGCTCATCTTCAGATACAGGGTCAATGTCAGGCAGAGGGATGATGTATCCACTGTCAGCACTCAGCCTCTGCTCATCAAATCCGCTCTCCCTATCCTTGAGTTTGTCTTCATTCTTGTAGGTGACACCAATATAGGTGTTGTCACAGTCCCCTCTCATGCGTGTGACAGCTGGGTGGTCACTTTTTAGGAAGTCCAGATGAATCTTTTCATAGCTCTGAAAATTTTCATTTTAAAATGTTATATGATGCACTACAATGAGGCCTCAATTATTTAGTCACCTTCTGCAGCTAGCTATGCTTCATGAACTAAAAGAAAAAGAATGATACTACCCTGTAAGCAGGTACAGTGCTAGTGCCTGAGGTTGTGACGTCTGAGCACCTGGGTTACCAGGATCCCAGCATGAGATGTCCCAGGGACTGGCAACCTACATGCTACGGCTGGCTCTGTCCCACCAAGAGGCTGGATCCAGCCAGAGAAGGTCCAGCCTGGCCTGGGTGGTATGGGAATCACACAACATGTGACTGCATCTAGCCACTGGTCTCCTCTGCAGTCCCCTTCTCCTAGACCTTCCCTTCTGCTCTCTCATGCCTGTGCTTAACTTCACTGCAGAGGAGCTAGGTATGTTCAGTGAGGTAAGTACAGGAAGCTTTAGCTCTCCAGGGGATGGAGATTTATAGCCCACAGGAGGAAGCTGGATCACAAGCTCCAGTCCATGGCAGCAAAAAGTTGCTGACCTCTAAAATAGATTATTACAGTAGCATAACTGAAGTAGGGCAACTGGGGCAGCAGCCCTGGGTGCTGCCATTGTTGGGGACGGGTGCAAAAGAAGGTATTGCCACAGCAGCAGCCAGCACATCAGGAACTGGTGTTGCCCCGGGTGCTGCATGGCTGCCCTGGGTGCAGGACCGCACTGCTAATATTAGAAAGAACACTATGTTTCTTTTCAAAGTAGTGCCTATATGCATTACATGTGTGTGTTTTGGCACACTAGCACCTGTGTGCAGGCAAATGATGGCATCTTTTGATTGGCACTTGTAAAGCATATAGAGGGATGTTAAATTCAGTGGGCACTTAGGCCGTGAGATTGATTACCACTTAAGTGTTAGGTCACACCTATACAATAAGCTTACTGCCTGGCAATGGTGCCTTCAAGCATGCTGTGCTATGCTACATGCACTGCATCCTAAAATGGAAGCAATGTTGCTGCAATTGTGTGGTTCCTTGGGCAGGCTAATTAGAAAAGAAAAGAAATAAAGGAGACTCAGTAAGAGGAGCCTTGGCATGAAGGATTAAAGCATGAACAGAGAGGGTTTGTGGATGCTGAGTGAGATTATGCATACAGGTCAACGGATATCTTTTCTTTTTTAAAGGATTCTTGCATTTCCTTTAAGAAAATCTATAAAATATGTAAAACCATCTCTTTGGTGATCAGAAGGATTCAGATGTATTGGTGCCTATTGAAAATGGATGCCATTCTTAAGTAATATTATAAAACTAGGCTCTACCAACAACATTCATGTCTTCATAACTGTTTACTCTATCTGAATCATTTAATTCACACACACACAAATTGCTCACTGCTCAGGTTGTCTGAATAGCAGTTACAGCCCTTCCTGTATGGACAAAATACAATGAAAATTCCAAAGGGCAAACCTTTTTGTACTCTCCGGGCAATAGACACTCAACAATTTCACTCAAATGGTAAAAAGAAGGTCTTTTTTCTGGTTCACTGTTCCAACACTTCACCATGATCTCATACCTGAAAATAAGATGGAAGCCAGTTTAACCAGCTGGAAGTTGCAATAAATAGCCATCAAAAGTGATGAAAAATAAAATAAATTATTATTTTAGTCAGGATTAGAAGAGAGAAAAAAAGCATACATACACCTCATTGGTGGCATGGTCAGGTTTTGCCATTCGGTAGCCACTTTTTATCTTGTTATAGAAAGTAGAATCAACCATCATTCCAGGGTAAGGTGTGCCACCTAATAGTCAAAACAATGATACAAATGCACCAACAGCGAGGAGTGACTCTTACATTGTTTAGTTAAATACTTGTAGTGTTATAATCACAGAATCACTGGGTACCTTTACATGTGCTCCAATGTATTCTAATTAGATTAGATCTGATTAATCAAGTCTGTTCCAGATTTGTATTAGAACTCTCCAGCATCGCCACAGCATCACATGTATAAGCCCCCACAGGTTTAAAAATGGCTGCTGGAGTGCTTTAACTAAAATTTGTTGAATGAGCTTTAAAGTGTCCTGCAACCATTTTTAAACCTGTGGGAGCTTAATACATGTGATGCTGTGACATTTTAATTAGACTAGCTCTCCAAAAACCACTCTAATTAAAACACCCTCCCCTGCTTGAGTACATTTATAGGCACCCATAGAGAAGTAGGGCTGGAAGGTATGTCTGGAGGTCGTCTAGTTCAAGCCCCTGCCTGAGGTAGAATCTTCCCTATCTAAGCCATCCTATACAAATCCATTGTCTAACCCCCTAGCAAAACTACACACAACCTAAACATGGCACAAGACATAACACCCTAATCTGCCACAGGCAAAGCAGAGGGACCATGGCAGCCAACATCCTGCTGCTGCAAAAGTTATTAAAATATGGTCAAGAAATACCAGAAAGAGGGCCATACCCCTGCTACAGAGGAAGGCAAGAAAACCTACAGTCCATACCAATCAAAAATTGCTTTCTGACCCCTAGTGTGGCAATCAGTCTCAAGTTCTTCCAGCAAGAAACCTCCAGGTTTTAGTCCCAGCAAGAACATTGGCACACCCCAGTCAAAATCTTCAGCCTTGTCTACAGCCACTATTCAATGCTTCTGAGAAAGGTTTAAAAAAACCCTGACACATGTAGCAGCAGGAGGGGGAAAAAATTCCTCCAAGCCCCATGCATCCACCAACAAAATCCAGAAGCATGGGAAATACCCCTAGTAGAACACTGGCATAACTATGCCTAAAACATCCCTGACCAGTGGTTGTTCAACCTTTTCTTGAACACCTCATGATGAAGATTCCACAACTTCCCTAGGCAGTCAATTCCCTGGTCTCACTATTCTAACAGTGAAGAGGTTTTTCCTGATACTTGCCTTGCAAGCCCTTTATCATTTTTCTCCCCTGCCTCTGAATTCTCTCTAACTTTTCCATATCCTGTTTAAAATATTGAGCTTAAAACTTCACACAATATTTTAGATGAGACCTAACAAGTGCTGAGTAGAGAGGCACTATCATCTCCTGTGTCTTGCATCTGTTGATGTATCCCACAACTGCATTTGTCTTTTGCATGGCTGCATTACACTGCAGACTTCTATATGAAAAAACGTATATATAATTAAACCCCAAACAGACAGTTATGCAACTGCATATGTTTTCTGGTGGGCATTTGAAAAGCTGGACATGAAAGTTGGATCAGGGAAGGCTTCCTAATTAAGGCATCTCGTTAATATTCTTGAGATGGATTTTTTTTATATTTTGGAGAGTGCTAAGAATGTCTTTTATATGAAGGATAGGGAGGCTAAACTAGATATCAGAAAACCGTTAACAATGTTCTGAATTTATTACTATTGTGCTGTATATTATTCATTTAAATTTTGTGATGCAACAAGAGCTAAGGATTAATTGCTGCTTTAAAACTGCAAATAAATATAAATATGTTATCATACATATACATATAGGCCATGTCCAGATGAGTGTGGCCATGTAGTATGTGATACCGCAGGCACGTCTGCAGCACCACATACCGCACGTTCAGTTGTTCTCCACACTGTAAGGGAGCAGCACGGAGGGTTTTTTGTACCCCTGGATATCCAGGGGTCAGAAAAACCTGTGGAGAAAAAAAGCGGAGTGGTGCACGCAGGGGCAGTGCTTGCTGCTCAAGAGTGGAGCTGAACCACCTGGAACCATGGTGCAGCTGCCAGTCAGTCTCTGTGTGGCAGAATTGCTGCTGCTGCAGCCCCAAGAGGCCCCTAGGACATCAGGTAGGGCTGCTGGGGCCAGCCCAGTGATGGCCCCAGCTTCCCATACTGCCCCCAGGGTAACACACCAGATGGCATGTGGCATGAGCGTTCCCCAGAGAGCATGCCAGGATGCTGGGGGTGTCTGGTGCACCACCACTAGCTTCCCCAGGGAACCAAATGTCTACATCACATGTAGACATGGTCATAATGAGCATTTTCTTCAACCCCCAACAAAGATTCATGGCAGACCACAATGGTTTGACTTAATTACTGGCAATATTATTTGTTACTTGTAAGGCACCAAAATGGCATCATATCTAGGTTCTAAAAATTGACAAGATACTAGAAAGGATCTATTATTTATATAGCATATATAACACTATGTTTATCAGTAAGAGTGCTCATTCTTTTTAATGACTTTAGACTTGATTGATGCTTTGATACAATTTTTTTTTCTATATAGTTATGTCTATATGAATACTTGGAGTTGACCTTAAGTTGGCTCTAAGGCTAGGGACAGACATTCAAAAAGCCTGAGTCTGAATTGATTCAATCTTTGCAGGTTAGTCTAACCTGGCTAGGCTAAATCAGTTTGTAACTGCACAGACATCCCAGACATGCAGGCTAGAGCAGCCCTGCCTTCCCTTCAGCAATACTGAGCCGGGGGGGGGGGGGGGGGGGGGGCACGGCAAGGGCAAGGCAGGATGCTCCGATTATCCCAGCAGGGAACTGATAACTGTGTTTATCACCCCTAACTCAGTGTTTATCACCCCATTAAGAAAACAACAGATTACCAGCTATCTGTTGATTCTGCCTTTGTTCCCATCTGCTACAGCAGAGACCATAGCCAGCATGTGGTCTGCTAGCTAATACACAGACACCTCTCACCAAGGCAGAGGGGAGAGGGGAATTCCTGCTTAGCAGGGAGTAGTGAGGGAGTTGCAAAGGAGTAGCCTGCAGTCTCTGCCAGAGGTCCAGGCAGGGAGCAGAGGGGAGGGGCCAGCTCTGCTGTGAAGCAGGGAGCTCCACCCAACCCAGAGAGCATGCCAGGATGCTGGGGGTGTCTGGTGCTGGGACAGACATTGCATAAACTGATTTGACCCAGATTAGTTATGCCTGACACTACATTCAACCAGGTTTATCTCAAACTGGTTTCAGCCATTTTCAAACTGGTTTATGTGCACTGAACATCTGTTCTGTTACAGGTTTAAACCAGTTTCTGATCACTTAAACCAGTTTATTTGTAATGTCTGACCCTAGCCTAAAGCTCATGTTAACTGACTGTCTGTACTATAAACTGTATTTCTTAACTCCCAGCAACAGTTCCTGCCAGTTGTGGAAGCCTCAAATACAGAAAGACCACAAGCAACAATCCCACAATTCTTTGTTCCTCACTTCCAGCCCTTTTGCACCTCACTTCTCTTTACTGGCTGTAAATAAAGATAAGCACAGATGGAGCATCTAGCTCAATGTGGACTTTGATGCCATTAATATATATAATATAAATAACTAACAATAATTAACCACAGGTATTTTATCAATACTGTAGGGTGTACAGTACTTTAAGGCATTACAAACTCAATAAGCTTAATTATTGCATGTAAGGAAGTCCTTATAGTACATACCAAGAGAAAATATTTCCCACAGTAGAATGCCATAAGACCAGACATCACTTAATGTTGTGTACAGATTGTCAAAAATGCTCTCAGGTGCCATCCATTTCACTGGAAGAAATGTCTGAAAAAAAAAACCCATTAATCATTAAATGTTCCTCAGCACACTGGATGATCTGTTTGATAGCATGAACAAGGTTTTCTATAATAAGCAGACATTTGCTAAAATGGTTAGTAATTATTTTTCGTCAAATAAACATGAAATGATTATAAGATGAACTGCTTCCTCCTCATAAAATCTAATCCAAGGATATCTGAATTGCTAGTTTATTAGCAAATGAGCCAGTTGATTAAGGACATGGTATAAGAAGTCACTGACTGATATGGTATGCTGTATGTATCACAGTGACAGTCCCTTAGTAATTTATCCAGTCACAGAGCTTGCCAATTAAAATTTCAGCCTGAAAAACTCTAGATGAGGCCAAGGACTTTTCATCATTCCAGCGGACTAAGTCATGTGAATTAATGAACTGAAGAAAAATCATTCCCAGAGTTTTCATCCAACTATCAATTAGTGTAACCAAATGTTGAGCAGAAGAATTATAAATGGCATTTTAAGCTGACACTTATCATCTCTAAACTAAAAAGATTAAGAAGTACATACACTGCCTTTGGAGACATAGTTGGAATCATGCATGATGTCCCTAGCCAGACCAAAGTCACAGATCTTCACAATTTTTCCTTGAGCTAGAAGGACATTACGAGCTGCCAAGTCACGGTGCACACACTGCGTGAAAAGAAAATAAATCATTTTAGAGATACAAATTCCGATGACAGCCCTTTTCCTTAAGAATGCACAGCTCCCTCCCTGAAAAGGCCTAGATCTGTTAACCTACTGGGGCCAATATACATTGGGCCTCCAATTGAGAAGGTATTTGCAAAGGACAACTGGTGGGGGAGGGTAGTTATGGTTTGCCATACGCACCTGACTGGCAGTTGCTGTAGGACATAATGGGAGAAAAGTGCTGCTGCTTTTGTTTTGTATATCCCATTTATCCTGTTTTTCAAGTTAATGACAAAAGTGCCTAGAACCCTAAAAAGGCCTTTCCTTTTAGCTGTGTTTCTCAATCCAAAAAAATAAATAAATGCATGCTTTGAGACTAGGCCAGTGCTACCCAATATTTTGGCCCTGTGGGCCAGATGAGAAGTGCAAGGTGGATTTGCAGACCAGATACAGTGTGTGGGCCCTATCTAAAGTAATAGCAGGTGAGGGCCCAACAACACATTGGGCCCACTGTGCCAGCCCCAGCCCTAGCCCCAGCCCCAGCCCCAGGCTGGTTTGTGGCAGATTGGGCCCCACTGCCCCAGTCCTACCTTCTCTGCAAGCTACGTGGGAAGAGGGCCATGTCATCTGACTCTCAAGGCTTAGAAATTTGGCAGTGGGAAAGTGGTGGCAGCCCTAATTGCCACTGACCCCTTGCCACCACATTTGTGGACCATTCAGGATCCCCACAGGCTGGATCACAAGGCTCTGAGTGTTGGAACTGGCCCTCAGGCCAGAGGTTGAAGACCCCTGAACTAGGCCATGCCAGTTGTATTCCTCAGGGACACTTACATTTTTAGAAGCCAAGAACTCCATTCCCCGTGCTACTTGATAGGTGAAGCTCAGTAAGTCCAATAGGCTGAGGCCTTCAGAACTGTCATCAGAAAGTAGGTTCTTGACTTCAGATTCTGTTAAAAAAAGGTAAAAATGTGTTTGCATTATAAACATTTCTTAAAGTTGTGAAAACAATGTCCAATTCTTTCTACTTTCTGTGAGGCTGAGTTGATGACTTTAACAGAGTATCATGGGCCAAGACTGTCTTCTCAGAGTAACTAACCCCTGTGTCTGTTTGTATTAGTTGCTGACACATACCACATTCTTTTTTAAAAAGAAATTTCCAGTACCAAATATAAGGTTTGTTTTTTTCTGTATATAATTTTTCCCAGAGGATTATAGCAAAATGCTAAATTTAAAAAAAGCTGTCAGCATATTACATGGGTTGCTTTTTCCTATTCAATTTGTGGTTAAAAAATGAAATACTGATTTAGAGATGATAACTTCATTACTTTTTTTTTGTACATGTATATACATTTTTTACCATTAACTTTTGCTGAGCACTGTTATGCTTCTCAGCAAGCATTCACTGGGACATGTCCAATACTATCAAAAAAAGGTCAGGAATTCTATGGCAAGAGTTCTTAATTTTTATGAAAAATGACAGCAAAATGAAGACTAAATCCAGTCATTCATTCAACCCTGCTAACCCAGATCAAAGCAACAGTGCATTAGTCTACCATCTAATTCTGGCTCTGGATATGATTTAGGTTCCAATGCCAGAAGTGATCAAGACTATTTCAGAAGCAATGCATTTAGTTGCTGAGAAAAGGGATAGGGAATGGGATGTTTTCATTGCCCTCATTACATAATGCAGGAAAGTATTTGGGAGTGTTCTCTATTTGGTAAGTGTCAGTTAACGTGGAATGTAAATGGAAACAGAAAAAGATAGATTATTGTTATTATTACTTGGTCCTATTGCTCAAAAATTTGAAAAATACATAAAAGTAACAAAAAACTGTTGCCATGAAAGACTCTGTGAATGCCTTCATGCCATGCAGCATAGCCACTCATACTTCACAGCAACAACAAAAACAAAACTCTATCCATTCTGCTCCTGATGGAGCACAAGCTCCTATCATTAAATTTAAACAGTATAAGGCTTACACGACACAGGTGAGAAATTCCAATGCCATGATGACAGAGATAATTGGTGTGTTTCTGTAGGAATGTGTTTTTAATAACAATGAATACAAAAGAGAGAGTTCTCAGTTACCTGACATGGATTTCTTCTTGTATGAAGCAGGTCGATCATACATAGATCTCTGGATATCAGAATATTTAGAACCCTCCTTCCTTTCCAGCATGGGCACATACTGGGTCGTATCAGCTTGTTTCATGTCCATGTATTCTCCATTGTTTTCAAAGGATAAAATTACATAACTGAAATATAAACAAGTATTGCCCAGTAGATACATTAATATTTCACATGACATCTTCACAGTCAATTTCTGGATGGTGGTTCGCTCTAAACCCATAATTTCTCTTCTCTTCATTTTGCTCTGAAGTATAAAAGTATAAAAGCTCACATATGGTATTAAATATTACAGTTGATAAAAATATTCCAGCTAGCCAGCCAGGTTTCATAGAAACTATTCTGCTGTGTGAACCCATATTCTCCTAAATATTTCCTATTCACACAAGTCAATGGGGTATTTACATGGGTGACAATTCCTGGAATCTCTCTATGTAAGGTTAATGAATTCTGATTAATTTTATGAAATTGTGTAGAGACTCATATAATGTTTTCAGGTGGTAGGAGCTAAAGAACAAATAAAAGGAGGTATTAACTTTAGTGCTGGGACTCTGGCCAAAGAGTGTTCATGTAAAGGAAGGTGTCTGCCCTTGGAGAACCAGTGCTAGTAAGTGCTCTAAAAGGTTGGAAGAGTCAGAGAATGGAAAATCCCAAGAGAACAAAAAACAGTCAGAAATTGTTCATCTTTAAAAGATTAGAAGGACACACAGAAGCAAAAGATAAGTACAGTGGGTGAGAGAAACACATGGATCATTTTTTGTTATAGAAGGGTGCAGCGTTCACAGTAGGGGGTGCTACTATGAAAAGCCACCTGCCTCAGTGTGCCAGGCCCAAAGCCACGCTTCGGGAGTCTCCCACAGGGAGCCTACAGCCAGCTGTCCCACTTCCTGAAGAACACCCACAAGCCTGGAGTAACGCTGCCACTACCCGGGCACTGGGCACTGGTAGGGCTCTGTGCAGCGCAGGGCACACAGACCCTGCAACCCTTGGGAGTGATTTGCCCACAGTAATATTTCTGGGTGGTTCTTTCAGCCCGAAGGTAACTGAGGGAAAATAAAAAGACAAACTGGCCAAGCTGGAAGTGAAAGGCCAGGAAGTGGAAAGGAAGTGGAAGTGAAAGGTCTTTCTCTCTCTACCCACAGTAGCACAACACGGCACATTGCAACTCAATACCTTTATTGATAAGGGGCAGGGGAGTAGAGGGGGGTTAGAACAAGGAAATTAGAATACACTTTGAGCAAACATAAGGAATGTGAGTCTTTTACAGGTATAGTAAAAGCTGTGTTATCCAGCACCTGACAAGCTGGCATGCTCTACTAACTGGCATGCCAGCTTGTAAGGTAAAATGAAACTGGAAGTGCCCACCATGGCACTTCTGGTTTCTTTGAGCCCCCACAGCCTGGGGCAAAGCAGCCTGGGCTGCCAAGTCCCCACTGCCCAGGGGCATAACAGGCTGAATGGGGCCCACCTCCCTGTCTTGCGGGGCTCCCAGGGCCCGCGGGATGGTTGGTGATGCCATGGGAGGGGCGGCGATTTCTCGGATGCAGTGGGAGAAGCGGCGGCCCAAACAGGCAAAGACGCCTGTTCAGGCCTCTCAATTAACCGGCATATTTTGTTATCTGACATCCCCCGTTCCCAGGGGATGCTGGATAACAGAGCTTTTACTGTAATTGGACCCGCAATCCTTTTAAGACATGACTGGCCTAAACATAATTCCTAACTCCTGGCCACTGTCCAGAGTTTTACTTATAGCAAATCACAGGGGCATGTTGCTCGTGGTGTTTCAAAATGCCTGCCACCAGGAAGAGGACACTCCCGCGTTCCCCTAGGAATTTATCTGACCAGGTCACCTGATTGACCAGCCTGTACTAAGAAGAAAACCAGGAGATAGAGGGGTCACCTGGGTTGGCCCAAGTGAGGGGCAGAGAGAGGGGGAGGGGATTTCTTCACAAAGGTTAGTGAATTCAGAAACAGTTGAACAAAAAGGAAGATGGCTGGAGGAGAGAAACAGCAAACTGCAGGCTACAGAAGAAAAATGATAAAGAGAGAGGTGCAAGGGAAGGGGGCTTGTAAACCTTGAAGGCCCAAATCCCAAAAAACGCTTGAAAGTTGTGAGGAAACTGAGATGGGAAATGGAGTACAGGTTTTATATGATTTTTTTCTAGGTCTCTGTATCTCTTGCATTACCAAATGTAAAGAGTGATTAGTTTTACAACCTTGCAAGGTCTCCGTGGTATGTTTCAACTATTATGTTTTCCTGAAAAAGTCAACTGTAACTCAAAGTGCCTACATAGTTGGGTTTGGGAAAGGGTATGCACAAGCAATTTGGTTATTTATGAGGGGCTTAGCACTGGTCCTGGGGCCTAAAGCAACTCTCTGAAGGGCTGACAGCAGAGAATCATTGTCCAAGAAGTGTATTGTGCTGGACCTTGCTAACACTGAAGGAAACCTGATGAGTATCCAGAAGAGGGAGCTTTATTGAGGGCTGTGACATCATGAATAAGGAAAGAAAAAAAGGAGAGTTTTCAACATCACACCCTTAATTTGCAAAATATAATAGTTTTTGTCTTTTCTCACCTTCTTGTGCTTTCATCAGCTGGGTTCATGCCAAAGATGTCCAAGTCCTTCTTCAGCTTTTCTGGGTGTCGGCTTAGAAAATTATCTCTATTCTTATGCAAGTAGTTTACCAAATCTCCATAAAAGCAGTATTCAGTAATGATGTAAATTGGACCTAATTAAATAAGGCAAAATAATACATTTCTGATTTAAAAAGTCATTGTAAAAATAATGAAATCCAACCACAAAGGTGTTAAGAGTTATAAGATTTTGGTTGTTGATCTGTGAAGGTAAATACTGGTATCAGTTTCTGGAACCCATTCTGTCATATTTATTTTAAAAAGTTCTTGTTAAACACTGCTCAACTGTGTTTAACTTTAGCTCTTAAGTAAACAGTAACTTTGTGCTGAATAAAGCCTACCTGATTTGGTACAAGCTCCTAACAGATTCACAATGTTCAAATGTGGCCCAAGATGTGTCATTATCTTCAGTTCAGACATTAGTGCTTGTTTTTCGCTGGATCTCGCTGTGGCTATTGGAAAAAATAAACAAGCCTGTTAAGACAAATATTCCATGTTATTGTAAATCCTATACAGTCAAGGCAATTTTTTCATGCAATATATATTGCTTTCTTGATGGAAACATTTTTGTAGAGATCTCTTGAGGTGGTCTTTGTACTTCATATGATGAACGCATAATACTGAAGAATACTATTAATACCAATAATGACCAATAAAGAACTCACTTGACTTAATTTATTAAAGGGTCCTGCCTGCTTGCACATATCCCATGTTGCAAAACAGCAGCCATACATCCCATTTTCACTGCCACTCTAAGAACTCCTATGTCATTTCTCCCCTTTGGGAAGAGCCTTGTTAGGAAAAGGGGCATAATTGAGAATTCCAGTTCCCTGGTGACACCAGAACCTAGAATGACGCTGGTAGTCACAAGCCGGTGGAACAAAGTAGAGCAGCTCTGGGGACTACTTGACTTCATTGTGGGAAGCAAACAGAGCCAGACAGACCCAAGATCAGTAGGTCACAAAAGTAGTTTAAAGACAATTATGTTCTATTATTCCACTCTTGTATCACTGCTTTTTATATTATTTATAATGCAAGAGCTAGCCAACAGCTTGCTATTATCAAAGCTCAGTGCCACTTATAGAAATAGAAATATTAGAATTCAACAATGTATAATTATGTATAATGTCACATCATGTAAGTTTTTCCTGTGTAATGGACATGAACACAATTATGTTGCAGACATTAATTTAAAATTTCTTTTAAAGTCCTTGAGTAATATCCTGACCTACTAGCTAACTGTATTTCAATCTACATGCATTTATAGCAACTAAAAACCTGTCTGATTCAGTTAGTTACACCATGATGTCATTCTAATATGCTCAAAAATTTAATGATTATTATATCATTTTCCAAGCTTACTGAAGTATTGTGACTTTTTGGCTGATACTATTAAAATAGTACCTTCTAAAAAACTTCAGAAGCATAGCGAATAAAAACAATCACAAATAACACTAAACAATCCAAAGGATAATCTCAAAATCAAATAGTTCTCTAGTTTACTTTCCAATTTAACAGTAGGGAGAAATCACTTATACAGACCGAAACAAACAATCTGTTATGAACATGAGCTATCTAGTCTGGAAAGTGGAATCACAAAGATTACTTACGTTTCAGCATTTTCACAGCTACCTTCATCACTGGTTGAGAGCGACTTAACCCATATGCAGTTCCCTCAACAACTTTGCCAAATGCACCAGAACCAAGAATTCGACCTGCAGATAACAGAGTTTTACAATAGCTTATCTCAGTGTTTGTAACCATTGCTCTTTATGTTCACTCTTATACAGCATGAATATACTCGTTCATCCAAAACATCATCATAATCTTGTATTATGGTTGTTGTTGTTGTTCTTGTTATTCATAAAAGGAAAACAAATAAAAAATAGTCGTTTTAATCGAATAATAGTTCTAAAAAAAATACAATAAGCAAAAAGCAAAGAGCAACTATAACTGGCTTCTGTGGGGGTGTGCCTTCCTGCCTTACTTAAGGGTTGAACCCATTAAACCCTCCATGTTTAACGTTAGGCCCTTAACCTAGTACTGGACAGAATTTCAGATTGGAACTAGCAATTAAAGCAACCTACAGCTTACAGGACAGATGCAGCTTGCAGAGCCATTGGATCCAGTCTGCAGAGCATGGGCTTCAGCAACATCTAGCAACAGGGGTTTCCACCTGTGCCACACCACATCAGGTCACATTGCACCACAGCTGTGCAGCCAGACATTTCCCTTATGCTGCGTCATAGCTGGGCAGCAGAGAGAAGCAGCAGCAGGGAGAAGTGGTAGTGGAGGCTAGGTCCTAGTGCCAGCCCAACCCATCTTTGACCAAGCGGGGTCATTGCAGCTCACTGCCAAAAAATGTTGCCAACCCCTGAATTAAAGGCTGGTTCCATAAAGTGTCTTGGACCATGAAAGCCATACTTTAATGATACAATATAGTTGAGGGTGGTATCAGTTCAGTGTAAGACTACAAAAGCAAGTATTACAAACAATCTGAGAGATGTTAAAATACATGTTGATCTCATATGAGGGAAAAAAAAACCTCTGAAGTTTAATACACAAGTGTGTTTCATATGAAAGAACAGTATTTTATTGTAATTTCCAAGTGCTATAATAAGACACCTGATGTTTATACCTACTTTTTCCTACCCGCAAATCAGGTCAAACAAAAATGTTGGATTATCATATCTTGTCTTCTGTTATGGATTCAGTGTGCAAAAGGACTAGGTATAGAGCTGATACAATGGCTTAGGCCAGATTTTTAAAGAAATATGCGATGGGCAAATATACATAAAAATAAATGTATTTCATAGATTTCATAGTCAAAGTCAAGTCAAAGTCAAATTTATACTAAAACAGTGAAAATTTAGTGAGCAAAGCCACATATAAATTCTAGAAGTTAGTATTTTATCATACTTGTCATCCACGTTACTTTTTACAACCAGTTCAAAAAATAGTGCTTGTTCTTAGCACTGAAAAATACAATATTGCATCTTTCAAAGTTTTTATGTAATTTAAGTACTTATTTTGCCATATACTGCACTTTTACCTCTCCCATGCTCCTAGTGGTGCTATTTCTAGAGAACCTACTCTGTATTGTCACAACACACAGTACACGATTTTATTGTGTATATATATATAACTAATAGGCTAAGTCCTCTGTGTTTTCAGCCAAAAAAATCATCATTTATTTTACTAAAGTTGGACAGACACTTGGCAGGGATGGTTTAGTCAGGGATGAACCTGCCTTAAACAGAAGTCAGACTAGATGACCCTGTCCCTTCCAGCCCTACTTTCCTATGATCCTATGTGAAAGACGGTATTTTCAAAAATGATTACAGCTGGTGTAATTTAGTTCTCATGGAAAATCAGTCCCAAGATCACTGATTCTGATTTTTGTGCATTCCTGGTTTCTCTTATGATTCAGGATATGAGCAAGCTTCCTACTATACTGCAAACTGATTCAAACATATTGAGGTTGAAATGTATCCTCTGAATATGTTCAGATGAAAGGTCTGTGAACCACATGGCAGGATGCAGCTCTTAAAACACAATGGTATGTGCCGAAGCTGCTTGATCTCGTCATTTTCATATGCCAATTCCGCCCAAAACCATATTGTCAGTTGAGCATGGAAAATGCTTCCTCTTCATCAGCACCTCAGATAACTTTAGCCCCATGCAGAGAAGGCCAGGAGCACTTCCTAGATTCCAGGAATTTGTTGTTATCATCTCTCCTTTTCATTCCTCTCTGTACCTTTATTTTTTAGACCTACTCTAGATGTGTTTTCTGAAATTGGGTGGGAGCTGACTGAACAAATAACACACAGCAAAATTCTGCCTACTGATACTACACTGGATTTGAATTAGTAGCCCAAAATCAAACTATGTCTTTTTCTTTCTAAGCTGTCACAGGGTACCATAGCAACCACCCTGAAAAGCAAATTACAGTTTTTCTCCGAAATGGGTATAGCCTGGACAGCAATGATACAAGATTCCTCACACTGATGAAGAAGCCATGTTAAGGATTGAAATTTTTCTTCAGTACAGCCTCCGTCCCTATCCTCATGGCTTTCTTGTTGACATGGCCAAAGAGAGTGTGATTTTTTTAGCAAATATAAACCAAATTCTGTGTCTGGTAAAATGCTGACGTCAATAGAGCTGTTCCATATTTAGACATATGAAGTAGATAAATCTGCACTTAAATAGAATTGTCTGTGTTGACAATGTCACCCAAGCCTTGAAATCTAGGGCCATCTTTGTCTCCTTGCTCTTCGTTACCTTTCCCATCTAAGCTTCTTCTTCTTCCATAATATTTTAAGTGCTCTCCAGCCAGAGAGCAGACCTCTGCCCTGTACTGACTATTGTAACCTCCTCTTCCCCGAGCTCCCCTCCCTCCACATGGCTTCACTCCAGTGGTGGGCTAAATAGCACAGGGATAGGTTAATGAATACTGTAATTTGGCTAAGTAGTTAGCCCACTCAAAGTAATACATTGCCTTAGCAACACTGCTTCTGTTTTAGGAGGTAGCCTGCCTACTTAAGAGTGCTACTGCCAGCCACAGTCAATTTATCATGTAGACATGCCCTGAATAACTACCACACTAGGCTACTCTGTACTAAAATGACTAAGAAGTGACAGGCTTTGTAACCTACATCCAAACTCTTGAAACAAGTAAATTAGTGGACCACTGATTTCAATGGTAGTTCCATACATTAAGTAGTTAGGTGCTTGGCTTGATTTCTATGTAATACTGGTAGTCTAAAGATGTGAATGGTATCTATAGTTTTATCTGTTAGACTAACATTGGGTTTTAATGAGTACATTGTGACAAATATATGATCAGGTCTGAAATCAGGGTGGTCACCCTGAATCAGGGTGGTGACATTCTAAGGCCATTCAGAAGTTCACAGCACTAGCAGGGAGAGAACTCAAATCCTGCTACTCTGAAAATAACGTTTTCTGCCACTTCCCAGAACAGTATTCTAACCACCAAGTGACAAGTTAGACATTCTCCAGCCCTCCTCTTGAAGCTAACCTTGTGGGCAGCCAAACAAGGGAGATGTATGAGCCAAGAAGGCCAAACAAGGTTCAGTGAGATGACTACTGTTCTGCTGTGTTATAGCCTGGGCCTTTGCTTCCAATGGGGCAAAAACTTTTCACTGCTCAGTTTCTATTTTATCCAATGAATATTAAATGCAAGGTTCAGTGGTTCAGCCTCAGAAGAGGGCTAGAAAGGAGTTTGGATAAGGACAAATCTATGCCTAAAGTGGTTAGCATACTGTTCTGGGGAGTTGGACAGATGTGTATTCAAGCCCCCCCAGGTGAGGGGGTGTCTAGAACATGGGTATCCCATTTCCCAGTGTCCTAACAACTAGGCTATTGGCCTAAATCATAAGAAGGTTCCCCACTCCTTCTGTCATGTTCAGCTACAATTTAGGATTTATACATAGGTACGTGCATATGAAGCCATGTACCTGCCCAGTTAGAGTGTAGTTTACAAGGCATACACAATAGTCATGCAGACACTTGTGCATCTACTCTGCATATGGAATAGACTCACAAACTGTGTGTAAGTGTAAAAAATGTCAATTACACATTTGGGAAAGTGCCATGTGGGCATATAAAATTAAATAGAATTCTTCCCTGCATGTGCTATATTGGAAAAATGAGAACAAAGTAAACATATTTTTGTAAAACTTATTTATAGAACTCCAGACAGTTGAAGCTTTCACTTTAGGAATGCCAAAAATTAAATCATAATCCCTGGTTTTCCCAACTTATACATTTTCAAAGAGTATTGAGTATTCCTTGAAAGTCAGTGGATTTCTACTGGGCTAAACAAAGGCAGAATATAGCCTATCAAGTATGGTGAAAAGCTTAATATGTATCAGAAAAATAGTTGTGAAAACCATTGCTGATTGCTACAAGAACATACAGTATCATTTTTTATAGCTATTCATTATGAATTTACTCATAAACAAGAATGCAATAGAGTAAACTGATGGTAATGAGTCAGAGAAACAAAATTACTGTGATGGAATCCTAACAATTCAGCTCTGACAAAATCTTTTTATGTACATAATTAAATCCAGAAATGTAATAAAATAATTCCTTTAAATATCTAGCATGGTTTAGGCTCATATTAGCAGGATGAATTTAATTAAGTGATTATTTTTCTGAATAAAAATGTGTGATACATTAATTGTGAAAATGAACACCAATCCTTTCTAAAACAAGAATTGCTTTTGTTTTTGTTGACTTGTGCAACAACAAGGAGCAGTAGAAAAAGTGAACATGTTTTAAAAATGTACTGGACAAAAATATCTTCCACTTTTGCTTCACCTGTAGTTTTTCATATAATTTGATGTGCATGCCTCCAAAAATAGAACATTAGAAATGTTTAATTCAATAGAAAATAGAGAGAGGGCATAATTACTTATTTTACATTTCTTGGGATTATGCTAGGATCTTACAGTTCACCTATAATGATATAAGGTACCTGTCCTTTCAATAAAATTCTATGTGAGACTCAACAAAGGGACAGCAAAATAGTAAAAAATGCATGACAAGAAAACAATGGTCACAGAAATAAAATTATGATCTTACTCAACAGTGATCAGGGCCAGGTTAACCCATTAGTGGCCCCTAGGCAAACAAACTCATGGGCCCTGGGGGGGTCAAGGCCCTCCACCCCCGTGGCACTGCCCCGTGCAGGGAACGGGATTCAGAGCTGCTGCTAGGAAACAGCTGCAGTGGCGGTGTGGCCAGCAGAGGGGAGGGAAGGGAAAGGAAGGGAGGCGGATGGGACCATTTGTGCTGCTGTCGTGGAAGGAAGGACAGAGCTATAGGAATGTTCCTAGTGTGCCTATGTGTTAATCCTACCCTGACAATGATGTGCATATCATGGCTTAATAATTTTTAAAATATTTTTTAATAAATAAGTAAAATTACTTCCATATTGCACTGGAGCTTTCTGCATTGAATAAACAAATGTCTTATAAGATAAACATGTACCTGCTGACTCATTTCTTCTAGGCATCTCAGCTAAAGTGAGTCTTAAAGCTGGAATTTAACAAAAGGAGGTGAAAGTAATGGCCTGAAGAACATGAGGCTTGGAACCATTTTGAGTGACCACATGGAAGAAGGTTAAAACAGAGACATGGAAGATGCTAACATTTGAGGCCCAAGGCTGACATTATTGGCAGAGAAGTAGAAGTACAAGCAAAGCATAATGCAAAAAAAGGTAAAGTCAAATAAGAAGGTGGACATAGAGTTACACAAAACCTTAAAAATTAAAAGAAGGGACTTGAACTTAATGCAGTGAAGCACAGAAATCCAATGTGGGTAGTGCAAGAGAGTATGACATGGCTGGACTGATGGGTGAGGAAGCTGATCATTACAGATACATTTTGTGGTGTTGATTATTATATTCTAACTTAAGAATCCTGTTAATACTGACTGGCACAGTGTGAAGATATTGTAATAGTTTTATAATACCCTTTCACAAAATAGGAAATTCTTTCTCTATCTAACTTTCTCTAAAATAGTATGTCTCTTCCCAGAGCTCACCACTGAGTACAGGTTCAGAGTTCTGACTCCCCATTAAATCAAAGGTTTATCTCTACAAAAGAAAAAGGCCATGAAGTATTTACCAAGGACTAATCCATCTCTAGGAAACTCCCATCTTGAGTCATATGGCAGTTGCATTGGGTCCACATAGATGTATTCATGGCCGTCAGGACTGATTGATTCAATGACTCTCCATCTTATCTCATATCGTGGCTTCTGCAATGCAGAAACAAATTATACATAAATAGGTCAGGTTCATGCCTGCTTTAAGACTGGATCAAATAACAATATGAAGTTAGCATAATTTTTTGTAAGTTACCTGTTTCCATATGATGACCAGGACAATCAGTGAGATAATCACAATTACTAACAACACTAGGACTGCAGCAGCCACAGTTAACTCTGATCGCAATGCTGTCATAAAAAAAAGGCCACAGTTTAGCTTTGTCTCCTAAACCTGGAGGGACCTGACAGAGGTACAAGTTTGTATGGGACAATAAGACAGCTATCTCCTTTGCTGTCAAAGTTCATATGCTCTACAGATGTTGTAAGTGTGGTCCCTAAAGGCAAGGGATATTAAATCATTCTCCATCAAGAATAACTGTCTTCCTATCTAAAAAACAACCATAGGATTTGCTTGGAAGAAGCTTCCAAGGTCAATGGTAACTCAGATGAAAAGATGAATCATGGAACCACATAATACATGAAAGATGGTTCCAGAATTAAGACTATGAATAGCTCATATTCAGATGTCTCTATTTTCATATTTACTTACTAGGCTGTTGTTTTTTTTATCTAGAAGACATGCATGCTGCATAATTACTTCCAGATTTGACTGGTTTTACTTAAGGGGGATTTCAGAATGATTGCCCTAAACTCACAGGAGGGACAAATTTAACTCACTAGGAGCCACAAGCTTCAGCTCCCGAGTAACAGCACCAAGGTCGTTCCTTGCAATGCACCGAACTGCCAGGGTTTCTTCTACCTTCTGGAAGGTCACCTGGCTTTCCACCATGTTCTTCTCATCCAAATGAGCCTCCATGCTAATATCTGAGATGTTGCTAGTCAGAAGTATCCATGAGGTATCATTGCTGCATCTACAGAAAGAAGAAACAGAAATATATACATTTAATTTAAATATGGATGGGTAAGTGTGAACAAAGTAAGAATCACCTCAAGCAGTTCCATATACCCTGTCTCTGACAAGTCATTTTAAAGGCCAAAAATATTTATGGAAGCAAGTATCCTTTTCCTAAGAATCTCCTGACCCCCCTCTTCTTGTTCCTCATGGATTTGTGGTCTCCACTAGCAAATACTGCTTTTGAGTCTCAAGCATTGGAGCCAAGCAGGTGTGGCAGGCTCTTTATTATGTTCCACTACAATTTAATCCACCCTTTGCATTCCTCTGGGGGTTTCTCTTTACACTCAAAATTCATGACTCTGAGGCCTCAGTGCTGCACAAATGTATTTGGGGAATTGGGGAATCCCATACAGTAGTGTGAAATGTAGGTATAAGGACAGCCAAAAGCAATTGTGATAGTTTTTGTGATTTCTGGCCTCTACTAGGGCTGTAGTTTCCCTGTGTTGCTGTCTTCAAAGGGGAGAGAGAGAACTGCATATCTGACTCATGAAGATCCAGCCACCTGTGGTTGTCCAGAGGGTGACTCTCTTTCTAGCTCAGTAAATATGAACAGAATAATTAAACAGTGTGCCTGAAACTCTTTGAAAATGAAAAGTGCTACCATAATATACAGTGGGATCAGCTTCAAAAAGTTGGAGAATATGAAAAGGAGATGGGGTAAGAGGGCTGGTCTAAGACAGTGGTGGCCAAACTGCATCTCGCAAGCCACATACAGCTCACTGGCAAGGTACTGGGGGAGAGCCCCACCCACTTCTCCCTGAGGGGGCTCCAGGGGACAGAGCAGCCTGGCACTGTGTTGACAGGGGCGGGGGCTGCAGCCATGCCACTTACCCCAGAGTGGGCTCCCTATGGGGAAAACCAGAGTGGCTTAGTGGTGCAGGGGGTGGGATAGTCACTTCCACTCAGGGTTGCTCAGCACACCCCCCACCCCCCACTCTCTGACTTCAGTTGTTACTGTGCAGTCATTTAGTACTTGCTTACCCAAGTACCAAATCACTGCTCTGTAATCGACGTTACTGTGCAGTAATGACTCCACAGTAACTGGTATTACCATGCAGTAGTGTCGACGCAAGGCTTCCTGGTGACACTGACTGTGCAGTAACTTGTTACTACTGCACAGTAGCTTGCCACTACTGTGCAGTAGTGTCACATCACGGTTCATGCCCCATGACACTACTGAGCAGTAGTAAAGAGCTACTGCATAGTAGTAATGAGCTACTGTGCAGTAAGCATCTTGTGTAGATGCAGCCACTGAGGAGATACGTTGTTTTAGAGAAAACCCTTAAATACATGCATTGTATCTCTTCTATGGGATTAAATCTGTAGACTTGATGTTAACCATTTCTACCCAAACTCTACCTAACCATAAGGAACAGGCCATAGAAAGACAAATGTATTTATTGTTCACAGACATCTGACAAGTCAAGAAAAAAACAGTCACATTTGAGATGAAGAAGAATCTATTTTTTCTTACTTTTTAATGTCCTTGCAAATTAGCCATTCAACATCAGGAAGAGGTGTCCCTTCTGCCAAGCACCTTACTGTCTGTCCTCCGGCTGAGCCATGATGATTATCCACCAGGTCTAGAATTAAGGCTGGAACTAGAAAAATATGAGAAAAAGAATAAGTCAGAAAAGCAGTAGGTTTTTCTAAGGTTCCAGGCAGCATTTCAGATGGAACGGAACAGAAGTCATTTGGCCAGCAGACTAGTAATAACCAGAACTAGTTTAAAGTCAGGATTTCCACTTAGTGGGAAATTTCAAAATTCTGCAAAAAATATGGTTTATTTGGAACAAACAGATTACACTTTGAAATATTCCATAAAAGGGAAAAGGCAAACAAAAATAATTTTGAAATAATCAAGAGATCACTTAGTAAGAAAACTTCCAGCCAGTACTCATAAAAGTCCAAAGTCCTGCCCCTAAGAGACTCTAAAACGGCATCCAGAGGTTTTTGGTTGCTCCCAAGAAACTGATTCTCTACTTCCCTGAAGGAAAAAAATAATTCAGATTGACTTCAATAGGAGGTATTCATATTTTGTAGGGTGGAATTGGGCCAAGACCTTCAGGTCCATTCAGTACCTATAGTCACAGCATGGAAGTGCTATGCTGGACTCAGGGATCAGAGAAAGAAAGAGAAAACAGAGAACTTATGAGAAAGAGTAGGTTGATAGCAATTTGGATGTCTATATCTGGATGCAACCAGTTGAGCTAAACTTTAATCTCAGCAATGCCATGTATCAAGTCTCATAATATCCTCTCAGGTTACTTTAATATTGGACCCTTTGCAAATTCTTCCTGATTGGGATAAAATGCCCTGCTAGATGTCTGTCATCCCCATTTATCTGATTCCTGAATAAAAGCTTCCTGTCAAGGCTGTTGCAGGAAGCAGCACATGATTTCCTCCTCTTAGGAGTGAAGAAGAATTTTCTTGGAACAGGAGCATCCATAAAAACACGCATTTTACAGGATGGGATGTTAGGGCAGGGGACTGGCATGCCGCCATTCTAATACACCTGTGTTTAAATGAACTACATTTTTGCTGTCCACTAGTATTTCTACAGCCCCAAAAAGGCTTACCTTGTATTAGTAATGAGAAAGTATATCTTTTAGTCTCATCTTCATTTTCAGCAACCAAGGTGTAATATCCACTGTCTTCTTCCTTAGCTCTAATCAGTTTTAATGTACTTTGAAACCTGTGGAAGCAAAAGACTTTGTTCACACTTTTTGCAAAACTGCAGACTTAATTAATCCAAATCAGTAGAAACAAACAATTGAATGGTACAGTTAATATCTGTCTATGGACGCTGTAATGTAGAGATGTTTTGCATTTCTATAGTGCCTTGCCTCTGTTTGAAAGTGCTGTTCAAACATTAACTAACTACCATAAAGTCACTAAAAAGTGAGCTAGCATTATTATTCCTTATTGGAAATTGGAAAGGTGCCTAATATGACTGAAATTGTAGGCAAGAGATTATTTTGGAGATAGAGTTTGGAAAGAGGCCAGGTTAGTATCAAGACAGGACTACAGAGGATTGGAGGAGGTTACAGTAATTAATGTAACTGATGAGTACAGTTTGAGCAAGTGAATTAGCCAGTAGGATAAAGAATGGATATTGTTTTTTCAGTATTATTAAGGAAGATGTGGCAGGCTGTGGGGGAAAGAAGAAATAGGAGTCAAATATGCTGTCAGGTTGTGAACCTGTACAATTAGAAAGATGATCATGTTGTCAACAGCAATGAATAAATGAATAAAGGAGGGAATGTGTGAAGGAAATATTATGAATTTGATTTTGGCTTTTATGGGCTTGAGCTGGCTGCAACTACCCAAAACCAGATGCCAGGGAAAAAAATTAGATTTGTGAGACTAAGTCCCAGGAGATGCATATTTATGTGGAGAAGTGTATTTAAGAATTTACACCAGAAAGGAATTAGTTAAAAATATAAGGAAAAAGAAACTCAACTTTAGAGTGCAAAGGAAAAGTCCAACTAGAGAAACTTGGCACATTCCTTTGGTGAGGTGGTATGGACATCCCCAAAGGAGACATTTAAAGAACAGTGGAAGAAGCAGGAATAAAAACAGGGAGAAGTCAAGGAGCAGAGGGAGTCAAGGAGGATAGAGTGATCAACAACTGGGAAAAGACAAGGAAGATGAATGTATATACATTTTTGCATAGCTTATATATATATATAGTTAATATATATATACTTGCATATTTAAACAATGTCCTTGTTCTTCATTAAATTCTAGTAATAGATGTCATTAAGTGTCAGTAAGTGAAATCAGAAGATGTCTGTAGAAGAAACTTTCAAATCAATATGGCAAAATGACTTCTAAGATGCTTATTGAAACCTTGACAAGAACTTTTTACCTTGTCTCATGGATCTTATTTGAACTAGTAACAATCTCGGTAAGATTCTCAATCAGGGTCACATTGTCCTTCAGCCAGAACATTTTTGGAGTTGGATATGCGTGCACATCAACTACAAAATTTTTGACCTCATGGAGATTGACAGCTTCCAAAGGACTAAACTGGGGCTCCAGATGAATGAATCCTTTGTCTATAAATGATGAAAGTTTGCATAAATAATTCTGCCCAGAGTAGATTGGCATCTGTCAGTATGCAAATGTTTGAACACTAGAATCAGACTGTACCGTGAACTGTAATGACTACTCTCCTATTTTCCTTAACCTCCTTGGTTGCATGTCTGGCAGTGCATTCATAATCCCCAGTGTCTTTCACTGATGCCTCCGGAATAGTCAAGGTGTAAACCAGCTTCTGGTGTGGAACTTTTATGTCATCAAGTTTTATCACACCTTTTTCTTTCTGTATTTTGGAGAGGGGAAAAATCTTTCTTAAGCAACCAAGGAAAGTGTTAAAGAGCTGTGATATCACTTCAGTAAGAACAATGAAAAAGTTGCTATTATACAGTCCAAATTTCACATGCTAAAGAAACTGCATCATACAAGACATGTTTTCAGCCATGAATGAAAGAAAGGTATCCATAAGAATACACAATTTTGGAGCTAACTACAGAAGAATGTGTAAGTTAAAAAGTTGTGTATTTTGTGCAGATGGAGTAAATTGCCATCTAAAAATTAGGTGAAGAGCCTGAAAGAGCATTTTAGCGCTAACATAAGCTAAGAGATTGTCTCCTCTGCTCATGGGGTGGGGAGAGAAGCGTAAAGCTATTGATTATCATTCTGGTAGTCTTTATTCAATTTCACAAAGTGAGACCAATTCTTAATGCCTGCTCCTAGGGACCATGTTCTATGTGCCCTGCTTTTGAGTATAGTACCTTAGCCAGGAGTTGTTACAAGAACAAGAGTGTTCCAAATGGAAGGCAGCACATTCATTATGACTGAGGAATTGGAATAAAATAATATTTTGGATATCATAGGAATTGACTCTTATTTTTCTGAGGGAGCCTAGATGATGGACATGTGGAAAGGTTTATGCTTTTCAGGTGACAGCTGTCTTCCTGAGGGGGGCCAGGGCCCTTGAGCCCCCATGTGACCACTGTTGGATACAGTATGAAATTAGAATCATTCATAGAAGAACAAGGTTGTGATATTCGAAACTGAAAGTAAAATAAACATTTCCTAAATGAAATATTTTATTCTTGGACCTTGGGTGAAATTATCAGATTTTTTACACAGTGCTACAATCACACTATACTTTGAGGTGCTGACTATCATGGGGTTCTACTAAACCTTTGCTTTAGAACAAATACTATGAAAATTTGGACTGGTTCACCTCTCACAATGGGGTTTGATTAGTGTAACTCCACTGATTTTAATAGTTCATACTGATTTATATCTGTTTAACTTAAAGAAAAATCAAAACCTCTGAGCCTGTGATTTTAAGAAAGTAATTTTTAGAGACTCACAAATGTATGTGAGCAGGAGGTTTAGGTTCAGGTACTACGCAAGTCATTTCCTGAATGTTCCATTTTGTTCCAAGAGACAGCCTTCCCTCATTACCAGACTCCATCTTCCTAAAACGTTTGCATACTCTTAGCTAGCCCTCATCTTCCTTGAATATTCTGAATTCTTACTAACAGTGACTTCTAGCTTCTGATTCTTACTTTCAGTTGTGATAACCAAATAATATTAAAAAATTCATTTTCATGTTCATCTGTCTCATTCAAACAGCGAAGAGTTGACCCTTTGAACCTCATATTTTCCTTCATTGATGATAACGCAATTATTCAGAAAGAAAAAAAGGAATATTTACCACTTTCCCTGGATAATTCCAATCTAAATTAACAACCTCATTGTGAGAGACCACACATGTTACAACAATGGTTTCGCCTTTTTTATATACAGTTTTAAGGGCTTCAATCTTAACTGGCAGCTGTGAAGTAGCTGAGGGGAAAAATAGAGAGAAAGTGCACCATGTTTAAAAACCATATGCAGTACATGAAAAAACTTTACAATGCAATATCATTTGTGCTATTGTAAAGCAGAGATAACTCCAGTGAATCAGTGGAAGCAAGTCTGATTAACATTGGTGTAACCACCAAGAGAATATAATCGTTCTTGGTTATTTTTAACAATTTCCAGAGTACTAAAGTACTAAAATGATATGAAATCTTATCACTTTCCAGCTGAATTGCAGCAAATACAATGGAAATGTCAAATATAGAACACATTCCTTGCAACAAATTCCCCCCAGAATTAAAAGTCTTTTACACTCATCAATTTCACCCAAGGAGAAACCTATAATAAAACTTTCAAAAGCACCTCACTAATTTAGGCCTAGTCTGCATGACAAGACTATGCTACCATTACTCAAGTTCTGCCAACCACACTTTGAAGGCATTCACCCTCATAAACCCCTCTGCAATGGCAGAATCCTCCTCTTTGCTAGTAGAGTTACTCCACATCTGCTGAGTAGAGTAAGGCTTTTACCACCACACAGCACCACACACATCCTATGTGTGTCATGTGTTGCTACATGACACATGTAGGAACTCCCATGCCCTCAGCCAGCACACAGGCATATTTACCAGCACAACTGCTGTGTAGAGCTGTGAGGAGCTATCAAAAACCCACAGCTGGGTTTGCACTCTGGCTGTTTGGTTGTGGTGGCTGGTGTTTCCTACCACAAGGCAGTCTTAATAATTTCATTTTCAAAAGTGACTTAGGGCATTGTCTACACTATAACTACTAGGGGTGCACCGATAGAGATGTTGGGGGCCAATACCAATACCTGATACCTAAGGAGGCATATCGGCTGATACTGATCTGATATCTGATACAGCTCCCTTCAGCTGGTAAGTCCGGTGTGGTGGAAGGTAGGGGGGAGGGAAGGGGCATGGGTGGGGCAGATCAACACCCCCCACGGTGAAGGAGGGGCCAGGGGCAGGCACTACCCAGCCGGGGTGGAGGGGGGCCATGGAACGGAGGTGCGGCTTGTGGTGTGGGGGCAGCTCCCAACACTGTTTGCATACTAGAGGGCAGGGGCAGGGGGGGCCTGTGCCCCTGGATCTGCGTGGCATGGGGTGGGTGGCATCTGTCTTGAGGAGCTGGTACTGCACTGAGCTTTTCTCGCTGGGGCTGGGCTCGGAGCGAGCTCCAGCCGTGCTGGGAGAAGGCTGCAGCCACTCTAAATTTCACCGCAGCTCTGCTCCCAGCCCTGCACCACTGCCTGGCACATGGGTGGAGGTGGGGCATTCAGCTGGGGCTGTGCCAGGCGGAAGGTGGTGACACAGGGCTGGGAGTGGAGCTGCAGTGAAATTGGAGTGGCTGCAGCCTCCTCGCAGTGCCCCCTGAGCCCAGTGTGAGTCCAGCCCCCAGTGAGAAAAGCCCTGCATAGTGCCATCCCCACCCCACAAGCCATGCCTCCATCCTGGGTCCCCGCTACCTTGGTTGGGCAGTGCCTGCCCCTGCCACTGTCCTCTCCCTCACCACAGGGGGTGTTGATCTGCCCCCCCACACCCCTTTCTTTTCCCCTCCCCTTCTGACTTACCAGCTGGAGGCAGCTCTCCATGCTGCCGGCTCTGCTCCCTGCTCCACTGCAGCTGCATGCAGCACAGGCATTTATTGGTCAAATTATCGGCCCCATAAGGCCGATATGGATAATTTTCTCCATATTGTCACTGATCCAATATCAGACCTATGTATCGGTGCACCTCTAGCAACTAACATTGTGACTGCTGATTAAGAAGACACATCCAAATCAGCTTTAAACTAGTTACCTCATCAAATACTAATAGCAGTGTAGCTGTAGTAGCCCAGAGCTCAATGCAGTTTAACTGCCTGAGTATTTACCCCACATTATATTGCAGCTGCACTGTGCTTCACACCACAAGCTACACTCCTATCAGTGCGTGAGCCACTTAGTTTAAAGCTCTCTCAAGTATAGCCACACGATCTGTAAACACTGAAGTAATGTCAGTGTAGTCATACTCTTTAGCCCTTAGGGCTAGATTTGAAAAATATATAGGCACCTAAACATACACATATGTGACTCATATGATTTAAAAAGCATGCAAACAGGAGCCCCTAACTAACCCAGGAATTTCTGTGTACCTTATCCAGTACCTATCTACATCTTTAGGAACCAAAATGTCTTTGCAGATCCCTTAGTAGCCTAAGTTCCAAAAATTTTCAATAACACTTAGTCTCCCGTGGGTGTATCTACACGTGTACTTTACTGCAGAGTAGACTAATTAGGTCCACAGTAAAGTGTCACCATCTACACATCCATCAATATTGGGGCACAGTAAATTCATTAAGCCCACCATAAGATAGTACTGTTAGGTACAGTACTATCTTACAGCAGAGTAATTGACTATGACAAAATGCAGGTGTTGATGGTGACTGCAGGCAAAAATGACACCTGGTCAGCCCAGACAGCAGGGGGCCAGACTCCTGCCTGCCACCTAGCCATGCAGCTCCACACTTTCAGTACTCTTGTGTCCCAGCCAGCCCCTCCACCACCCAATACTGCCATCCAAAGCCCAGGGCTGACTCCCTGAGCCTGCAGCCAGCCTGTGCCTGCTCTTCCCCAGCTCAAATTGCTGCTGTCCTGGGCACATGTGTAGATGCTGTGCCTGGGAACAATGTACTCCAGCTCAAACAGCTCCAGAGTTTATCCCTTTGCATTAATGGCACATGTAGAGGCACCCCAAGTGTCTAAATTACCTTTGAAAATGGATCTTAGGTACATAAGTCACATAGGCATTATTAGAAAATTTACCACTATTCACTAAAACATAGGAATTGTTATATCAGAACGAACTGATGCAACATCTAGTAAGTAGCATTTCTTAATCAACGGACAGAGCCAGATGTTTCAAATGCAATGTAATCTGTAGGGGAAGAAAAAAGCTCTTTCTAAACCCAGATAATGAACTGTTCATGTCCTGAATGAAAAAGAATTATGGATCTTATGACAGAAGTAAGAAAAGAATCAGGATCACCATTTTTTACTTCCCCTCCTATGAAAAATTAAAAGGGATTACCTCTCAAAATATATATAAAGAACTCATCGGACTTGAACTCCACTCCTTTAACAGTTGTTTTGCATGTGTATGTGCCTGCAGGAAAATTTCCTATGAAGCCCTGCTTGCTATCATAAAAGGCATATAAGGGCTTGGCTTCACTGTTAATTAAGGTTACTTGAGCATCAGGGTCAGTTGTACGACAAGGGATAACAGTGGAATCGCCTTCTTCTATTAGAATGAATTGATCCTCTTGTAGCGTAGGAACAAAAGGGATATCTGGATCTGTAAAAAAAAAAGCACAAGTGTTTTTACATTGTATTGTTTTAATACTTCCATAGTACAGGAGTAGAGAGATCCGCAGCTATTAAGCATCTTGAATGAAATTGTTTTTCCTTGCTTTTCCAGAGGTAACTGTTAACAGATATTAAAGTAGCATGCTGTGCCTGATACAAACTCACAATGATGACATTGCAAGCAGATGGGACATGTAACCAGAGATCCCATTTGCCCACAAAGCACAAAGAATTATTTATAACAGAAAGTGTAAGGCCACCAGGAGAAAAGTAAGGGTTGCTATTTCTTTCCCATTTACATCTGGTGGAGGTTCTCCAAAGTGCTATTCACTGGCAAAATTAGATTAAATGACAAAAAACAAGATAGTCACTAATATTGACATGTAAAAATGGTCACACTTTTCAGTGGAATGAATTAAAAATAAAAGGCTAAGTTTGGATACTTCTATATAGACTCACTGAAATCAAATTATAGCAAAGCCTATTGGGCAGATTTTGAATCCAAAAGTCCAATTTTCAAGCTGAAAGGCATTAACTTTTACTTTGAACATATAATATATGCCACAAACAATAGGGAGAATAAGCAGAAGAGAATGAATGTCTTGGCATTTACTTCCATTTATTCTAATTCCTTTATCGTTGTGATATCAGAGTCCATATAACTAAACAACCCTAGGAATTTTTGTTTTAAAATGGCATTACAAACCAAAGACATTGAATAGTTTGGGTTTGGCTAAATTAGTTAAAGCCAGATTTCATCTGAAAATAGTTATAGCTACATCACTTTGTTTATATATTGCTAAAATGCCCATTACTGGGCCATTAACTCAGATTATCACGTGTCATCTCCAAAATTATAAACCACAACCATTAGAAAACATAAAAAGAAAAAAACCCCAAATATATAAAAAATGAAAACTACAGCTCTCAAATCATGAAAATCTGTCATTTTCAAAATAAACAACTGCTGTACAACTACAAGCTTATGAGCCAAGTGTTATAGTAAATTTTAACAATGGGAGTATAAACCCTCCAACACTAGAACATTGAACACTGGCAATCTTTATAAAAATAATCCAAACTGGCACTCTATGGCTGTGTCCAGACACATGTGGACATTTGGTTCTCTGGGAACAACTAGCAGCAGCACACCTTGCACCACTGCTAGTTGTCCCTGGGGAATGCCTGTGCCCCACACACTCTGGAGCACAGCAAGTTACCCCAGTTGGGGTAGGAGAGGGTGGGTCCAGCACTGGACTGGTCCCAGCAGCCTTACCTGGGGCCTGGGGGGCCTCCCAGGTCTGTAGCTGTGTCACTCCTGCCACGCAGAGCCTGGCTGGCAGTGGAGTAAAGCTCCAGCCGGCCAGGCTCTGGCTTTGGGCAGTGTGTGCCACCGTGTGCACTGCTCCAATTTTATTTTTGGTAGGGATATCCAGGGGTCAAAAGAGCCATCTAGGCTGCTCCCTTGCAGCACACAGAACAACAGAACATGCGGTATGTGGCACCACAGGTGTGTCTGCCGCACCACATATGGCACAACCATGCTCATCTGGATGCAGCCTATAAGAATTTTCTGCCAATTCTATATATTTATTTTCCAAATACAATTTAATACAAAAAGGGGATTTACCTAGATTTTTTTCTGCCTGCATTAAAATTGCAACATAAGGAGCATGCACAGAAGTGCTCCATGCATGTTTTACAGCAATATAATTTAGAGCATTTTTAAGGCATTATGAAGTTACAGTGCTCTTAAACATGACAGAAGTGCAACATTTGGTTGGGGAGGCCCCTGAGCCTGATAAACACAAGGAGGCAGGGGGCGCTCTACAGCCTCCTGGGGCTTCTCCACTGGCCAGAAATATGGCCTGTTTCCAGAAGTTATTTAAAGCACTATTGGTTGCTAAAGTGCTGTAAAATACAGCATTTCAAATTTAATACCTCATTTAACAAGGGTTATTTAAAGTGCTGTACCCATTTTTAAAGTACCGCAGAGCTATGCAATCTGGTAAGTCACAGCAAGAAAGTTTTTTAAATGGAGAAAAAAGAAGCTTCTGCCATAAAACTGTATATACCCTATGTGAAGCTTTGAAGTGGCTTTTTCTTGATAAAGAAAGTCTTATAATTTATTACAGGAAAAAGAATGGTTTTGTATCCAAAATCAAGAAGGTTTGCTGTGGAAAGGGAAATTTTACAATTCTAAAATTTGTAGAAAAAAGACTGTACTGAAATTTCAATAACTGTTTTAAGAAGTACTAATGTTTCAAGTTTGTTATGGTAAATATAGAGAAAAATAATGGAAAAATCATGAATGTCTTTACACACGCTCTGGGGTGGGGGAGTTGCTTTAATTAAGGTGGCTTTAGGGAGCTGCTCTAATTAAAGCACTAGCAGTGTCTTGTGTATTCAGCATCCCACGCTTCAAAATGGCAGCCCTTTTGAAGCACAGGGACACTGAATATATGAAATGCTAAGGCTGCGGGAGCGTGCTATTTTGTTTACATTAATTGAGTCTGACACATGCTAGTTAGAAACAGACATCAGGCACATGTAGGTACCCTGTGTTACCAATGTCACAAGCCATAATCTATGGATACTCAGCTACCTTTGCAAAATGAATCTTCAAGTTTTGGCTGTTCAGAAAACCTCTAGTACTTGCTGCATATTCCTCCTTATATAATCTTCTTTTTAGCCCCAGACATTTTTCCTTCTTTTACAATCATGTTCAAGTGTTGTGGGGTGAATTTCAACCTCTTCCCATTTTTCTGTACTGCCCTGATAGCCTACTTACCCAAGAACAAACACAGTAATTCTACCAGTGTGGACTTTTGTCCCTTTAATGCTGTCACAAAACCCCTGCATCCTAATAGATCCCTGGGATCCTCTATAATACTCTACAAAGATTCCCAATGAAGTATGAAAAAGATGTATCCTTACATTTACTTATAGCCCCATGTTTCTTCCCACTGATTCCCTACCCAACCCCCATATAAAAATTCAAAGGTATCAAAAGTTATGGATATAAAGAACTTAGACTTCATGGGCTCTTGTATTAATCAATTATAGCTCAGTTTGTGAGCTATTATAACCATGAAAAATACAACAACAACAAAAAAGAGAGAGTAAGATTTTGACCCTAGCCTTAGAAGACTAGTGAATAGAAGACCTTCCTGGGACAACCCATCTTACCAGAGTATGTGGGTGGGGATAATGGTGGGCACTTTTAAAAGGGCAGGGGAAGTTAATAGGTGAAGTGATATTCCCTGAGATTTATAAGGGGGGTAGGAAGTGAGGGGCAGTGGATCCAGTAGATTTTCCACTGTGCAGGAAAGGAAGTTTAGAGACAGGGAAAGCAGTATACTGTAAAAACGCTATAAAAATTGCAAAGCACTGTAGGAAATTATAAATGGAAACATAACATTGTTTGTCTCTCACAAGACTGTCCAGAGGTGCCATTTCTCTTTTTAAACTTTTCTCAAGCATGTGTTTCAATACAGCAAAATGTTCTTACTAATCAGGATACCTGGCCAGATGAACCTTTAGTCTAACATAATAAGTCTTGTGTTCTAATATACCTAGTCCAAGCAAAGAGGTTGCTTATAATTTAAATGTTAAAAATGGCCCCTGATAGTATTTCATGTCACCTTGCTGCCAAAGTACAACAATCAAAGTATCTATCAATATCTTTCTCAATATACAAGTTACAGCAATCCAGGTGAATTTTTCAGTGGAAACATGGCATAATCCACTCACCAGGTACATAGATGTAAATATCCGTCCCCTCTACTTCACCATCCTCCACTTGGGTATGATTGTAATAGCAAGTGTATAATCCAGTAAGAGCAGCTGAGGCATCTCCTACTTCAAGCACAGTCACAAAGAGGCCACTGTTGTTCTCTTCAAGTCTAATGTCTATTTTCTGGTTTTCTTCAGCCATAGGGTATTGCCAGCTCACTTCGCTGTCCCCAGAGCATTTCAGGGTGAAAGAGGAATTCAACTGCACAACCATTTCATTTTTATTTGGAAATATAGTTGGCAATGGAAGCTGGCAAAATGTTAGCCATGGTCCTGGGAAAGTAAAAAGCAACATGTTACTAGGCAGGACATTCTCACCACAGAGCTGTGGAAAAGAATGAACAATCTGTCTGTATTGTAATAATTTTCATGAATGATTCAGTTATGTGGCTTCCCCTGGAAATGAGCCCTTTTTGAAAAATCACAGCATTTCTCTACAGAAGGCAAAAAACCATCTCTTTGAAACTCTGAGGAGATTAAATACAATTTATTTTAGTTCAGTCCTACTTGTGTCAAGACGTTAAAGACAGAATTGAAATTAGAGACGGTGCTTCCAAAATCCCAGATCCAAACAGACCCAAATTTGGGGAGCATTTTATTTTAGATCCATAAACAAAACTTTACTATTAGTTTTTGTTTCTGCTAGGCAGAGACCCAAAACCAAGTGTTGTGGCTCAGACCCACTTCTAGTTAAAATGTGAGGAAGGTTTGTAGTCAAATATTGTAACTCGTTAAATAGGATATTGTAACTGAAGTGCTTTTTAATATGTAATCTGCATTTACAGCACCAGATTTTCTGATTCACAGACATTGTGCTTGGCCTGGCCAAAAGCCAATCTAATTCCCAGTATAAGTATGAGCAGTTACACCTACAATTCTAGAACACCTGGAGAAATCATCAAGGAGTGAGATACACTGTTTATGACTGCCAAGAGACAAGCACAAAGCAGACTTCATGCAACTGAAAACTGAGCCCAGAGTAAAATGGTAGGCTCTGTAAAATAAACCAGCTATGCATACTTGTTTGGTAACAAAACAAGCATGGACGCTTTTATATGTATTATTTGGATCTACTGGCTATTTTGTTCTCAGAACCTGGCACCAAATATTGTCTCCCCCCACATTCCTTTTGCAGATATGGAAGACCTGATAGGCAGTGCAGCTGGTCTGGTTATGTGCTGCCGAGTGAAAAGAATCAAGAAGCCCACTCTGGGAGTCTGCACCATGCTGCTTGAGGAAATCTGTTGTGAAAAACATGGGATGGCTGGTGCATTGGCAATCACACAATCCACCTACTTGAGGGAGCTAGAGAGCACCACAGCCCTAAGGCTACAGCTGTAAGTGCATGGTAGATTTCATTTCTCTGACAACCCTAGAGCTTCTGGGAATCCCATCCATTTACTTGGCCTTGACACAAGACACCAGGCTATGGTTCTATGAATACTGTCCTGTCAACAGATTTTATTCCATTCTTGGGATTTGTTCTTGTCTAGTTTTACCATATTGAAAGTGAGAAAAAAATGGAACTTATAGCAGATTAACTGATCATTTGATGTTCATTGCCATGGATGACATTGAAAAGAATAGTTTGAGGAATCCACTATTGAATACTGATTTAAGCACAGATTTATAAAGAAATAATAATTAAGAAACCTCAGGGATTTGGGAATATTACCTGTTAGGATACATCCCAGGCCCAGGAGTGTCCTTGGGAAAGTACCCATGATTGCAGAAAACTGAAAAAGAATAAAGGAAAAAGTAAAGTTAGTAAACAGATTGAAATAAATTTAAAAATATTTACTTACAGAGATTCTGATTCCATTAAAACAAGAGTCCCTCCAGAGCCCTCCCATAAAAATGATCCAGACATTTTGGGCCAAATTCTACAGCCATGGTCCAATCCTGCAGGTCACTGAACTCTTCTTGCTAAGTTCCAAGTGCCTGAAACTTCAACAACAGTTTTCGGATTTGACATCATAAGAACATCACTGCACATATAGGAAAATGCCACAGAAGTCGACGGGGTAGCAGTGTATTTACACTAGTGTAACTGACAGCAAGATTTGGTCCTTTGATTGGATTTTTGAGAGGAAAAGTATACTGAATGTAATTTTAACAGTTAAAAGTACCATCATCCAGTTATCTTAATATTCCATATTTTTAATTCTGTTAATTAATGTGTTTGTTTCATCCAGTCAGAATTACCTTGATCAAAAGACATTCTGTTTAAAACATATGTTGAGATTCTTCAGTAAAACACAAGAGGGAGCTCAAGACTAGCATTCATAAAGTACTTCTTTTCCCAAGCTGTATGAAGGACAATGATTTATATCTTTGCTTCTTTCAGATATACAAAGCAAATTACCATAAAACTGAAACAAATAGCCATCTAGCTACATGCCATATTATAACATTTCAGTTTACAGTAATTGAACCATCAACAGATTTCCAAAGGTAAATCCTGCAGTTACTACAAACAGAAATTTTATTATTAGCTTCAACAGGAATCCATTCTGGCCCAAAATGGGTATAAGTTGAATAAAAGCTGTACCAATGGACTTCTACTGGAGAGCACAGGCCACTTAGACGTGAATAAAAGAATGATAATGCACTGTGCTTGGGATCAGTTCTTAAAGATTTGGGGCATCTTCAATTCATGCAATTAATACAGAACAGTTGGTTTTGGGAAAGGAAAGCATGTAAACACGTCCAGATATTAAGAATATGTCACCTACACCTTTTAATAAAATTATTACAGAATGCCAAGAAATATTTCTTTATGAAAGATGAGTTTGACCTTCCTTTCTCTTGCAACATGTGGAATAAAACATATAAGGCAGAGCAAAATGTGTTTGGTATCAAGTGAAGGATTTGAATGGTGTCATGGCAACACTAAGATTTACACACTACCAGCTACAAAAACATGTGCAGCAGCTTCAGAAATTCAGCAGACAGAATTCCAACAGAGACAAGCCATTTAGGCTGATTTTGCAATTAGTAATAATGGTCATGTGTTTATGTATCTGCCTCTCACTGATAACAGACTCTGGGACATCAAAGAAGTCCTCCGGTTTCAGCCTTCTTACTCATTTTTATCACATGTACGTCCTGTATTTCTTTAGATAGTGACCTACTGTACATCCTTAAAAAATCCCATAGTTTGCCCTACTTATTTGATTCCTAAATGTTCAGGATTCTTGAGACAGTGATACTCACATTGCCTACCAGGTTTCCTTCTGCCTTTCAGATAGAAGGATCTCTTGCCTTCACTTTTATAGACTATCCAGTGCAACCAGTAATAATATGGAAGTGATTCTCATCTCACATAAATGAGGTGTAATTTCAACTAAAATCAATGGAGTTTACAGATGTGAAACTGGTATAAGTTAATAGTGAATAAGGCCCTATAAATACCCATGTACATTTAGGTGACAACACAATATACTTCCAAAGTACTGCGTGAGCTTTAGCCAAAGAGCTCAACTACCACAAAAACCAATTGGAGCAGAGTGGCTTAATCTACTGTGATGAATTTAAAATGTACAGATTTCCTAAATGTCCTTTGACAGACTGGTTGCTCTTTAAGACCTCATGACTCTGATCATTTCCATCAATGATATTAATTGGAGGACAAGGCCCAGAGCAACTGTCAGAGAGAGACTAGGGACAAACGGGTGATGCTACATCACATAAGTCTGATTCCATGTAGAATTTGACTTAATGTTCTGCATCTTGTGAAGGCGCACAGAGGACCAGAAAGCTGCACCCACATGTTCTGGCTTATGCTCATTTTGCCTGTTTACTTAATTCAGTGCCCATACTTTAGGCAGCATGTTGGTCAGAATCTAATTATTTAGTTTTTGCTAGATACGCAACATTTTAAGCCTCATCCCAGGGCAACAGAAAAAATGAACCCATCACTGTCCTCCATGCTCTTCAACTATTTTTGTCTAGCAATCTTCAGTAAACATAGCAAGTCCAGTTCCTCCTAATACACCCCAGGGACCAGATCACCAGCTACTGTAAATTGGAGTAACACATACCACTAAAGTCTCTAGAGCCAAAGAAGCTGAGGTTCTGACCCAACATCACTAACACATATGCATATCTGGTCTGATCCTTCATGCCTTAAGCATCTAACAGGAGTTTGGGAGCATGCAAGAAATACAAGACCTGGCCCAAATGTCAAAATAATAGTTTGCCAGCGTCTAGGTAAAAGCAAGAGGTGTTGAGTAAAGCAGAAATTTAACTTGTTCAGAAATTTTGATTTTGAAGTGGTCTGAATTAAATATTAGTGCTTATTTTTAATTAAAATAAATTATTACATGAACATAAGCAAAACATTTTGTTTGAAAGTACCTGACCTTCCAAAAACTTACTGCTAAGCACAGGCGGACCACCATTGACAGTGGTTTGTAAGGAAAAGCAAAATGTGCCAAAAAACTGTATAGAAAAAAATTGACAATCTTAGTCCACCCTTCTGCATATAATGAGGAAAATGTTACTATGATGGAAAGAAAAAGAGCTTTTTTTCTGCTGTCCTAAATCAAACACAGAAATTACCACGATTGTAGAATTTCACATCCACCATTAAACCAGAAGTAACAGCTCTTGCCCATTGACACTATTCACCTGCATTTAATTCAACTGGCCACATGATGGCAATGTTGATCCATCCTAATGTAATCACATTTCTTTTCCTTGGCAGAAGGAAAAGGTTAGTCTCAAAGGCAGCAGATGGAATTTGAACTGGGTCTCCAGGGATCAAGCTAAAACCGTCATTTTTTTTATATTTTAATTTCATATGAGCTCTATTTTTTTGAGAAAAAAAACCCCAACAAAATGGTCTTGCAACCATTTGTTTGCTCATTTGGGTGAGCAGTACCTCTGAAGACTAGTGATATGAATAAAGGGTCAGAGGTTGGTACCCCAAATTCTGTTATCTCTTCAGGTCTTGGAAATATAATCCTAACTATGAAAAGGGTGGATACTTTAATACAGGTCTCCCCAGACTGTAAGTCTGGCCTCCCTCAGGAAGCTCTGATCTTTTCCAGGAAAAGTTCAGGCAAGCCCAACAAAAGGAAATCATTTAATGAAAATGGTATATTTTGTTAGGTTGATTTAAACATGAGGACAGGGCCACCTGAAACTTTTCTTGGTGGTTGGCTCCTTTCCTTATGAGAACATAAGGGAAAGCAGAGCCTTCCATACAATGAACAAAAGCAGGCTCTGGAGTTTTTGTTGAGAGCAGAGAGGAAAGGAATGAGCAAGGAAAAGTTATCCATCTATCCTCTTAAAATGCAGCCTTACAGAGTAAAGCATACATTCAGTTTCAATTTTTTCCCCTAAAGGGAGGTTTGCTCCAATAAATCTTTACAAAGAATTACCTCTAGGATGATTTAAATATTTCTTCTATACCAGAGAAGCATAATTAGCTACCAGATCTAACTGTACGACATCCTGACATTGTGCACAGCCCTGTACAAGCTACACAGTGGAGAGTCCCAAAGTGTTTACAAGTCAAATGCCTTGATTCTGTGATCTCACGCATGGAACAAGTCCCATGTGCCCAAGCAGGGCTCCAATGACTTCAAAGAGCTTGTTCAAGAATAAGGGTTTCCCCTCGTGGAATTGCTGCAGGATCGGGGTCCAAATGTTTAAAAAGATGGAGAAAACTCAACAAAATGGCTAAGCATGGAAATTTGGGGGAGAGGGAATGCTTTTGCTGGCTCTTTTAATTCTTGTGGGCACCAGTGAGGCAACTGTTGAAAAATCCTGCTTTGATCTTTGAAAGAGCTGAAACAAATTTCTTCCCCTCAAAGTACTCAAAAGCATAAGACACATTCAAACCCTAGTCTTGGACTGCAGACCAAGAGAGACATAAAAAATACGATTTAAAATGTACTTAATTAATTCCTGCTTTCCTTGGTACCAAAACCTGTGCAAAGATCTCGTTAGAGCCTAGACAGGAGACCACAAATGACAGCAAATTTGCTCACAACCCCACAATCAAATAAGTGCCCACAGATTTTTGCACCCTCCTGTGCTGTTGTAATTTCAGCATCAGGAGCATGATTTTAAAGTAAACTGACTAGGGAGGGGGAGCCCAGTGTTGTTTGGGTTGCTAAATCCTAAATTTTTGTGTAGTTGTAATTTTTCTTAAAACTGTTTCCAAGTTTTGGAGAAAAATTCTCTTTGTTGAAGCCATTGTTTGTCTGGGGGCATGTCCAACATGCAGAGCAAGGAAACTCGTTGGAAAAGAATTTTCTGCTTCTAGATCAGATTTTGTTAGGTCTGTGTTGTGTCAGGGCTGATGGTCTTCTTAAGCAGTTTAGATTATGGAGGGTATAGGGTGGTTGGGATAGCGATGATCCGACCTGAGGCAGGGGGTTGCACTAGGTGACCTCTGGAGGGCCCTTCCAGCCCTAATGCTCTATGATTTTATGATCATTTTGAAAAACCCTATCATTGGGATTCAGACAGAATATGAACCTTGCAGGCTTTGATTTCTGACCTCCTGTCTGGTCAGGCTCTGTGCTTCTTCCCACTGGCTTGGTAGGAAACTCTGAGGGAATCTTCTTCTCCGGGATTCAGCACTGGTGCCCCGGGCGAGCTGTGCTGGCAGATGCTGTGGCAGGCTCGAAGCCCTAAGACTGGCTGCATATGCATGCGTTGGGACAAGAGCCACAGGCTTGATTCCTCGTCATCACTACGGCGCGGTGCTCCCGTCAACTCCACTGAAATGAAGCCAGGGCCAGGTTCGGCCTCACCGCAGCAAGGGCACAGGATCCGGCCCGCGAGGAGCGAGCCGCGTAGGGCGAGCCCGGGCGCGACCCGCCGAGTGAAACCAGCTGCGGGCTCGGGGGAGCGGCTGGCGGCTCCGTCCTGCGGCGGCCAGGGGGCAGCACAGCCCGCGCTCCGGCCGGCCCGAGGGCGACTCCGCCGCTGCCTTGCCCTTGGGAAACCGCTGTCTGGCACCCGGCAGCCTCTCCTCTCCTCTCCGCCCCGCCACATCACACGGGCAGCAGCCGCCTCAGCAGCTCTGCCCCCCGCCTGCCCTCGGGAGCCCCCCCAGCCGAGAGCCTGCTCCAGCCACCTCCAGCCCCTCGGCCTGCACCAGGGAGCCTGACTTTGCTCTTTGGACCCCCTGGGAAACGCACGGCCCGTGGGGGGGGGCTCAGCCTCCCACCGCGGAGACAACCAGATGCGGGATCCCTTCACTCACGGATCCTTCCGGGGGGTCCTTCTTTGAGATGAGATGACCCCCTGGGCGGGATCCGGGCGCTGGGCAGCGAGGTCACAAGTCAGGGGCCAAATAGTTTCTTCCCCGCCCAGAGCCACTCGCACATGCGGACCGGACCGGACCGGATCTGGGGGAGGGAATGGGACGAAACCAGCGGGGTCTCTCGATGTTGAATGGGGTGCGGCCGAAATCACGCCGAAAGCTTAGGCAGCTTAAAGAAAGAGCAGCGCTGGCCGTGAATGGGAAGCACCCGAGGGGCTGCTCTCCACCCTGGTCTGCCTGCAACAAGGACCCGAAGTGAGCAGCTGGGAGGTGGGGGTCTGCCCCGGGACGGCTCAGCTCGGGAGGGCACGGGCATGGGGGCTCCTCCACCTCTGGATGTTACGAAGCCGGGCAGATGGGGGCGGGGGGAGGGGGGTGTTGACATTCACCCCTTCAAAGCCCCTGTCCTGGGTTTTTGAATGTCTCTAGAGCACGGACTGGCCCTTGGGAAGTGAAGCCCTGGCAGGCGCTGGTGTCCCGAAGCGGGGAAAGCGTGGGGGGATGATCCGAGAGGTGTGGGGCGGGAGGGTCCAGCAGCAATAGCAACATCCAGCCTCGGAGTTGTTTTCCTAGGAAACAATAGGGGAGCCCTTGCCAAATTGAAGCAACATTTTTTTATGCGGGTTAGCCAGAAAAAAAGAGAAAAGAAAGAAGGACAGGAGAGGAGAGGAGGACCCGCTATTATTTCCTCCCTGGGGACTGAAATGCTGTCCAGGCTCGGATTGCCCTCTTCCCCGGGCAGGGCTCGGCTGCCCCACGGAGCAGAGGGCAGGGGTCCGCCTCGTCCGTGCCCTGGGGGGAGCCCGGGCGGGGCCGAGGGGAGCGGGAAGGAGCCCTCGGGGCGACG